TTAAGCTTATTGCTCCTTCGAATTGAAGTGCATCTCCAAAATGATACCACTTAGTAGAGGGGAAGAAAAGAGGCAGTCTAAGACTTATTTAGAAACTGGTTGAATGGACAGGCCACAAACATGCAACAATCAATTTTAGTGCATCTCCAAAATGATACCACACAGCTTGATAGAGGGGAAGAAAAGAGACAGTCCAAGAAAGATCTTGATTAGAAACTGGTTGAATGGACAGGCCACAAACATGAAAACATCAATTGAAGTGATTCTCCAAAATGATACCACAGGGCTTGATAAAGGGGAAGAAAAGAGGCGGTCCAAGAAAGATCTTGATTAGAAACCGGTTGAATGGACAGGCCACAAACATGTAACAATCAATTTTAGTGCATCTCCAAAATGATACCACACAGCTTGATAGAGGGGAAGAAAAGAGACAGTCCAAGAAAGATCTTGATTAGAAACTGGTTGAATGGACAGGCCACAAACATGGAAACATCAATTGAAGTGATTCTCCAAAATGATACCACAGGGCTTGATAAAGGGGAAGAAAAGAGGCGGTCCAAGAAAGATCTTGATTAGAAACCGGTTGAATGGACAGGCCACAAACATGGAAACATCAATTGAAGTGATTCTCCAAAATGATAGCACAGGCCTTGATAGAGGGAAAGAAAAGAGGCAGTCCAAGAGAACTAATCAGACAGCAAACAAAAACTGGTGACCCTTTAACACATGGTGTTATGAAGCTAAGATGATGATGAATATTATACAATTCATTTTAACAGACAACGAGGATGAACCTGCGAACATACCAACATTATCTATATCCAAATCAGATGACTCTAGGCAATTAATGATGCAGAAATGTTTATTATAACTTCTATCTGATGTTATAGTCACAGTTATTGTTGCTTGTGTTTAACTGCACTGTTTAAAAAAAAAAAAAGAAACACATACTTATCCAGTGGCATGTTTTTATTAGATGGCCAGAAAGACCATGGGAGTCGCCGTGGCCGAGCGGCTAGACGCTCGCTGCGGATCGGAAGGTCGTGGGTTCACTTCCTGGCGGAGCCGGACTTTCTTCAAAAATGACCTTGGCTCCTAGGTCGACCCAGCCTTGAGTGGGTACCGGATGCATTCCCGGGAAAGTGAAGGCGGCCGGCGTGATACTGACCACATCACCCATCTTGTGCCAATAGGTCTATAAAAATATAGGTCTAGCCCTATATGCCCTATACGCCTTAAGGCGTGGAAAAGGGTCCTTTACTTTTACTTTTTTACAGAAAGACCATACACCTAAAACTATTGATGATCCTGAATCAAAAGAGCTGCTTATTGAGTGATTAAACTCTTGTGTGCAATTTGAACAATTTCACTAATTAAAATTGTAAAAAATCTAAATGTCAAAATTCTGTTCCTTTCAGTAGCTTTATTTTTTTTTTTAGTAAAGCACCACAGAAAAACTTGCAGTTTTCTATCTTTTCAACAGTACATATCTTTTCTGCTTTTTTTTTCTTTGATAAATTAAATAATGAATGAGAACTAAGTTGACTCTATTTAATTATCCCTGTATATTTTCTATTTAATTATCTCTGATAGACTTTCAACTAAATTTAAATTTTAAAAAAAAATGTTCAATGTGATGTTCTATAAACTTTGTACTTATGTTTAAATAACTCAGTATACAGTAAAATCCTATTAACACAAATTCCAAAAAACTGAAAAATCAAGGGTGTGTGTAAAACAAAATATGTGCTAACTGGAGATTAATAATAACATGTCCCTGCTAGGACCAAAATATTGTTCATGTTAAAGCGAGTGTTCGAAAGGGAGTTCATGAGGTTTTACTGTAAATGTTTATTTTGTGTAGCAGCTATGGAAATACTGAATTAAACAGTTAAGTGCACCCACTTAATTAGGCTTTTAATTAAAATGAAATATAAAACAATTCTCTTTGTAAGCTTTTAATTAAATTGAAATTTAAAACAATCTTCAATGTGATTTTTTCTTAGTGTGTAGTTATGTTAAGATAAACAGTATACATATATTGTTATTTTTTTTAGCAGCACTAACTAAAAAAAAATGATTTTCAGGCCACTGGAGTATCACGCGTATGATAAGTTAATTACAAAAAATGAAAACATACCTTTTTCTACGCCACCAGGCGCATTAGACATATAGTGCCAGACCTGTTTTGTAGAGCAACTGGCACTTGGTGGGTGATGTAATCGGCATCATACCGGCCTCCTTTACTTGCCAGGACTTTACCTGGTACCCACTTAAAGCTGAGTTGAGCCTAGAAGGTTTATTTTATTTAAAAAAAAAAAAAAAATCCAAAATTAGATTCAGATGCAGCATTTTGTTCTGTCAGAGATTTAGTTGCTATCTTCGGGACATCACAAAACAACTCCAGCAATTTTTGGCTATTTATGGTTGTACAAGGAAAGTTTATGTTCAGCAGTTTGCCATTTGACAGAACTGACTGCCCACATGAGAAGGAGACAATCTACATTCTCTGGTCATGTCATGAGAAGGAGACAATCTACGTTCTCTGGTCATGTCATGAGAAGAAGACAATCTACATTCTCTGGTCATGTCATGAGAAGAAGACAATCTACATTCTCTGGTCATGTCATGAGAAGGAGAAAATCTACATTCTCTGGTCATGTCATGAGAAGGAGACAATCTACATTCTCTGGTCATGTCATGAGAAGAAGACAATCTACATTCTCTGGTCATGTCATGAGAAGGAGAAAATCTACATTCTCTGGTCATGTCATGAAAAGGAGACAATCTACATTCTCTGGTCATGTCATGAGAAGGAGAAAACTGGAGTACATAGTGACAGTGGGGGAAGTTGGAGCGGACAGAGAGGCAGAGGGAGACAGAGAGAGAAGAATCTGTACAGTCTGATATCATGGTATGAAATTTTATCTGTGACAGGAGTTGATGAAAGTACAAGAGATAGAATGTTGTGGACAGACATGTCTGTCAACGCCACACAGTACGGACTTTGAGTAGTAGTCTGTCTTTACTTTCTGAAATTTTGACGCTCCATATCATTGTTGAAATCAACTAAAAGCAGTCTGTTGCCAAATTGACTGCAGCCAAAACGCACTAGGTATTTTCGGAAATGAACTGCACGCATTGTATCTTCTCTATTTAAACAGGTTAACCACCTATGTTTTTTTTTAATGACAAAATATAAGTTTATTTTAATTAACAATTTGTGCAGAGTATTATACTAGAAATATATATTTAAAACAATATTAGTTTTTGCTTTGTGTATTTTTTCAATTCGTTTGTCTTTTAATATAATAAACATGGGTGCTGAATTTCTAACTGTGCAACCTTTTTTTTTTTGTGTGTATGTGTGTACATCCTTGTTTCTTTTTCTTCTTCTGCGTTCATCCGAAGATGTAATTGCGTTGTGTCCGTTTACAGCATGGCTGCGATATTTGCACCTTTCGCCCAACACATCCGACTTCTGCGGGCATTTGTTGACTGGGTTAGCCTTCCCGGTTATTCTTGATTAATAGTGACAGTTTTCTTACTGCTGAAAGTAGTATACATCAGCGACAATGGTTACAGTGTAGACCACTTAGTGCCATCTTGGATGTGGTGAATTTTTGTTGTAAAAAACACTGTTTATCACTGGCAATTTTTCTTGCTTGAATTCTTATCTGGATAAGGGGAATTTCTGATTTAAGTACTTATTATCAGGTCTGCACTATAGCATTGCTACACTGCACTGAGAGAAGCGACTAAACAGTTTTTACATCCGATGCTTACAAAGAATACTTGGCATTAGGTTGCAAGATAGGATAACAAATTGTGAGGTTTTGGAAAGAGCTAGTGTTCAAACAATTTTTTTTAATGCTCAGTCTTTGTAGGTTTAGATGGCTTGGCCACAACTGGAGAACGCAGCATGGTAGAGTTCCAAAGGACATCATTTATTGTGAATTACAGACAGGCAGAAGATCTCTTGGTCGACCGCTGCTTTGTTACAAAACTGTATGCAAGCGGGACATGAATGATACAGGTATTGAGGTAAAATCATGGAAATAGGATACCACAGATCACATTGCATAGAGAGGAAAGATCAGGAGGGGATTAGATACAAAAGAGAAGGTGATTGCAGATAGACTAAGAGCTGAGTGTTTGAGAAGAAAAACAACATGCAATGACAAAAATGGTCCCGAATTCCCATGCAGCCACTGTGGAAAACTTTTCTTGAGGTGTGCTGGCCTTGCAAGCCACCACCATAGGTTGTAGTTTCTACACCTCCTTATAGCACAATACTATCGTCTGGAAAGACGGAAAGGTGCCAACAACTTTAGCATGAACTGATGTCACTATGATTTCTTAGAAAAGAGGGAAAGGGGCGATTTTCACCAAAGTTATGTTGGACATGTCCCACTTATATCAAATCAGAAACAAAAAGGCTCAACCAACTTTAACACTGATGGACACAAGCTATTTTTCACTTTTGGGACAAACTAAACGCCAAATCAGACTTAAAAATTAAAACTCTTCATCTTCTTTTCCACATTAACCGACTGTAAACTGCGACAGAAAGTTCTGGTTTTTCATCCACTTCAAGGTTTTAGTCTTGTTCCAGAACCTGAGTTTTGTGTGCACATCCTTTTTTACAGATCTGGCTTATTTGTAGGCAGGCTGTTGGTTCGTCGCCTCACAAGGAGAAGTTACAACTCAATCCGCAGGTTGATCACAACCAGACAATCAAAAACATATAACTATCATCGCAACTGTTACCTTTAAAATTCACATAAAAAAACCTGGCATGTAGAAAACATTTATTCACTTTAATGATTATGAATTATGCATCAACATTTACTAGGCACATACACAACAGAATTCCTAGCTTCATTATTTTTTGAGGTGCCTATCAAATCCAAACATTTCAAGCATATAAGAAAATCTTCACATATTCATTATTATTATATACTTAATGACCAAAAGAAAATGACATCCTCAATCCCTGTTTAAAAAGATTCTGGTGATGTTCTAAATTGCTTTAATAAAGCTCTATCCTTCTTCTCACGCAGTACTCCAGCCTTTGCTTTTGCCAGCCTGAAATATACAATTAATAAGAATAGTTCCAAGAACTTTCCCTGTGTGGGTTCCAGGACCCCATTTTGGGGGGGTAAAAAAAAAGAATAGATCTACTGCCCCCAACAAGCATGTCAGAATAAAAGTGGACTAATTAGGGGTGTTTCCTTCAAAGTCGGGTGCATCCGCCCTTGAGGCAAAAAACCAACAGTCTGCTTACAAATAAGCCAGAGCTGTAAAACAAATGTGCATGCAAAACTCAAGTTCTGAAACAAAGCTGAAGTCCAGAAGTGAACAATGAGAACTTTCAGCCGGTGAATATGAAAAAAATTTGAAGTCTGCCGGTGTAGAAGTTTGATGGCAGTTCTGCCCCTCACAGAATAGTTTCCAACACAGTAATCATAAAACTCAATGGAGGTTCCATCTATATACACCAACATTTACTACTTCACTCAATTGGTTACCAGAAAAGATGGAGAGATTTCATAAGAATTTTTCTCTCTGTCTCTTGTGGGCACTCCAGTAGCCTTTCCTAAGCAGTTAATTTTATATGGAATGAATTTTCTTCGGTGCGATGCTGGGAGAGAGCAAGTATGACACTGATGGAAGCTTCAAGAAAAACATTGTTTATCATTTATGGCTGATTTCCACGGTAATCTTTAGTGTTTCAGTAAAAGACGACATCTGATCTGATACTTTGCCTAACTGAAAATTTACAAATTTTAAACACACTTATTATCTTCTTCTTCTTCTTCGTTTACCAGCTTTAAACTCTGGCAGAAAGTTTTGGTTGTTTATCCACTTATGGACTGCAGTCCTGTTCCAGAACCTGAGGGTTGCGTATGCATCCATTTCACAGATCTGTATGCAGACTGTTGGTTCCTTGCCTCTCAGGCAGATGCACTCCGACTTCGAAGGAAGCTCCCAATTAGTCGACTCTTACGACATGCTTTTGGGTAGGCAGTGGGTCTATTCTTGTTTTTCCCATAGTAGGGCCCCGGAATCCACAGGGGAGACTTATTATCTGAAAAGACTGATTTTATCACCAAGTGCACTGCCAACCGGCATGTGTGATCATTACAATCTGCAATTTTCAACAGCATGTATCAATTTATGGGTAGACAACCCCCCCATGTCATAAAGCATCTCATGTTGTCTTCCTGTCTCTTTTTTTCCCCTCACAGATCTTTCCAGTGCTCACAGCATGGTCCAGTTTTCTTCTTCTCAAAACATGACCTCGAAATTATGACTGACTTTTTCTGATAAATTGTCTTTGAGCCCTCACCTCTTTCAATACATCTGGGTTGCTCCTTTTGCCTGTCTCTATTGATAAAATACAACTGCTGTGTGAAAGATGGGTGTTTGGAAGGGCCGAATGTAAGACAGGCCTGAGTGCCCAATTTGTATCCTTTAAAAAAAAAAAAAAAAAAAAAAAAAACAAAAAAAAAAAAAAAAAAAAAAAAAAAAAAAAAAAAAAAAAGTTTGCATATCTTAGGAATTCTAATGATTCTTTTGTAAGGAGAAACTGTTTGGTTTGTTTACTAACTGTGCAGTATTCAGTCATGTTGTTTCGCTCTATACTGCATAGACTGATAAACAGAGAGAAAAGTAAACATGGTGCACAGAGCTAAAATCATAAACAAAATAAACCCTGACAAGTAACGATCAGAGAACAATTTTCAGATATTAAGCACCAAAATATTTTACTTAATATGATGCTAAACATATATGAACAACAGCTTCTTAGGAATGTCTGTTATAATAAACATATCCTTGTGATATTATTAAAGAGGACCTACCTGAGTGAACAGCTGTGACAGATATCAGGAAATTGTTTGTCATCAATGCCAGAAAAGTCATAGGACTTGAGAACTCACTCTCATACCATAATTGACAAACATATACTGCACATAATATTTTTTTTATTGTCTGAAATGCCTTTGCTCTGCAGTTATTCTTTCCACTAATACATTTCCCACCTGGTGTTGCCAAGGTATCCAAATATGTGAACACATTTAAATGCTTTAGTAGACTCATTTACTCTTAGACTTTATTTTGAAAGACACTCCATCTTCCATCTGGCGTTGACAAGGTACTCAAATACTTGAATATATTTAAATGCTTCAGTCTAGCCTCATTTACTCTTAGACTTTATTTTGAAAGACACTCCATCTTCCATCTGGTGTTGCCAAGGTACTCAAATACTTGAACATATTTAAATGCTTCAGTCTAGCCCCATTTACTCTCAGACTTTATTTTGGAAGACACTTCTCTGTGGTTACTACTGCATGCATGATTTATCACTTCTTATGTGGCTGGACAACAGAATAGGAGAGGTAATGAGCTTGAGGATTGAGGCTGCCTGGCTAGTGTCACCACCATAGACTGTGCAGGTTCACATTTGATTTTAATCTCTGACAGAAAAAGTCAATCACCTTACTCAGAATTTGAATCTGGGTCTCCTAAATGAGATCCCAGTGGTCTTAATCTTTTGGCCAGCTGTTTCTCAACTTTTCCTTCAATCCTATTTATTTCTATTTTTTTTTGCTGTTCACAGTAAGCGATCTGTCTTGACTTTCTGTTACAATTATATCAATAACTTATGGCAGCTGCAATTCATTTCTAGTCCCAACTTTTGACCAAGAGAAACACTTGTATAAGAGACAACACTGCAGATATAGATGATCTATTTCAAGTGAATGAAAGAAGAAGATTTCTAGTTATAAAAACAACACCGTAAACGTATAATACACACAATTTCAGTTTAAATAAGCAATACTGATGTCAATAAGCTACCGAACTGAAGTTTCTAGCAAAAGAATCAACTACAGTACCTATACTGCTGTGGAATTCTAAAATGATATGTTAAAAAATGTTTATCTTTTCAACATTAGCAACACTGTCACCAAAACACTCAAATTTTAAGAAAAAAGTGTGTGTCAACTTACCTTTCTTCCTTGACCTTTATCTCCTGCTGTGTTGGTGGTTTTGGCAGAGTTGAAGCAGCAAAGATTAAATTTCTCAACTTGTTCATACAGTCAGCTTGATTCAGGATCTGCTTGCGTGTCATGTCTGATCGCAGAACCAAGTAACCATCCTTGGTTAGTTTACCTTCAGCCTAAGACAGCATCAGAAGAGAAGAAAACAATACAAATATAAGATGATACTGTAAATGATAATTCATAACACATAACTCATAACATCTTGAGCCCAATAATAAAAGAAGATAGCATTAGAAGAAAGAATTCAAGATGATACTTTAAACAGGGTTAGCAGCCAAATGTAATAACAGAGGTACTAAGGAACAGAACAATAAATAAAACATAAGTTCCAAAACAACTCAATCCAACAAGGGCATTATCGCACTGTATGGTTATGAACACAACAAAAATGGTTCCCATCCAAGTTAAGAATTTCAAAAGTTATGTACGTATAGATATTTTCCCAAGGCAAACAGACTAAACCAACAAATGAAGATTTATCATTAAAAAAAAAACAGATCATTGCAAGAATAAATACTACTATAGCAATATCAATTTAATCACTGACACATACATGTACCCATTAAAAAGACTTAAGTGGCATACATTTGGCAAATTTAGAGTACAAGACAGAGAAAGTAAGAAAGGAAAACATGAAAGGACAATAAATAAGTACACCTGAAAGTCTCTCACTCTGCATCTTTCATTTATATATGCACCGGCTTTAATGTGTGATATAACAGTAGAAACAAATATTACCTTCTCAATAATTCTTGGTTTGATCCAATCAGGGATCCAGGATGCAGACTCCAGATGAAATCTGATTTCAACTTTACTGTTCACTAAAATGTATTAGAAATACATACTTTCAAGTATACATGCATGTGTTAACTATTATCAATATACAGTAAATGGCAAAGATATTACTGAAGAGTTTGAAATACAAGACCAGTTTAAATGGAAACCAGCTTGATTTATTATATCTATACCTTTTTCCATCTTTGCAATTTTGTAACTGCTCCCTTAAAAAAATTGTAGCTAAGAAAGTTGGTAAAAAAAAACTTGGTCATCTTTTTGTTGTTTCTCTTTAGTTCCATAGGGCTTGAAGTTTAGTTTTGATTCAGTGGACGAGCATATTATTTTTAGTTCACCATATAGAAAACAATCCTGCATAATATCTTCAGCCGTTTGTTTGCTTTGACCATGGATACATAGTGGTGATGCAGACGGGTGCAGCCAAGTTCTATGTTTATTTAGTCTGTTATTAACTCCCCTGCAGCACTGACAGCTTAACCATTCCTGCTGATCAAGATTTGGGTTAATTCTGGGTTGAGCAGCTGTCTTTTTCTGAAAGTATAAGACTTTATTATCTTTGAGTTCACATCTTTCCTAGTCACAGAAAACATTAATCTGTGATAACTGCTTATACTAAAAACAGAACAATCTGCAGCCGACATCACAGTACTTTGGACATTCCCATAAACGCTCTATCATTATCTTCAGCAGCAAGTGAAGAGTTCCAATGCTGATGATAAAGTAGCATCATCATGTGCCCTGACAACTGGTGTATGCGCTCATGCGTCTCCACAGATTATGATCCCTGGTTGCCTGGAACAGCTCTATTGATGATATCCCTTCATGCCATCATTTCAGCCCATCCAGCATCGTCTGGTCTGCCTCTACCCCTTTTCCCCCTGATCTTTCCAGTTGTCACAATGCTCTCCAATGTCTCTCTTCTCATTATGTGGCCAAAGAAAGGTGTTTGTCTCTTTCTCTTTCTTATTGTTGTGTATAGAGATCTACTTCCATTAGCTTCTTTCAAGCAATCGTTGTTAGTTACTCTGGCCGTCCAAGGTATTCATAACATCGTCTCAGAAACCACATCTCTGTTGCATCCAAATTCTTCCTGATTTGTTCACTGACATTTCAAGATTTGCTGCCATACAGCAGAACAGGTTCTATGTAACATTTTAGCACCCTCTTTCTGACATTAAATGAAAGCAATTTATTGCATAATAAATTTTTCATTTTCTGAAATGCAGCTTTTGCTTGACCTATTCTGCTTTTAATCTCTGTCACACATTTCCCATCGCAAGATAAGTACAGTAGCAGTTTGATTATATGTCTGTCTTGCCTATCCTCTGAGTGTACAGCGTTGGCCACATCCTCTAGTCACTCCCTGCTGCCCCATTCTCTCCACACCTTAATGATCTATTTGCGCTCCCCACTGCTCACTTGCTCCCACGTCTAGGTTGTCATGCATCAATGCATTACCCAATGGTGTAGATCCCTAGAGTTATAATCAGAACAGTTCCTGGAGTCAGTTAGCCAGATTATTAATTATTAAGGAAACAGAAGTAAAATACATTGAGTTATGTATGCTAAAACAAGCTCGTAACAAACTTAAAAAAGAACAAAACCACTACCTGTATTAACGCTCTGTCCTCCAGGACCACTGCTTCTTGTGGCAGTTACCTCTAACTGCTCTGAAACATCATATATGAGTTCATTTTAAACACATATAAGTACACAAACATGCCCACAAACTCACATATGTACACAAGAACTGCTCTAAAACATGCCCACAAACTCACAAGAAAATGGAGTAAAAATCTCTTCTCTGCAATCTAATTAAGTAAATGCAATTTCTCTTTACAAACACTGGCAAGAAATTTAATCAAACTAAATCACTAAAATTCAAGAACTATTTAGGCTCTGAACAGCTAGCTACTTTGCTAAGGATATAACCTACACATTACTGTAAGCGTATGGGAGCCACAGAAGCGTAGTGGCTAGATGCACATAATGCCAATCAGAAGTCTAGGGTTCAAATCCACAGCTAGGCTACTTCTTTTCTAAAGTGACCTTGGCTACAGGTCAACAGAGCCTGAAATTGCTATCAGGTAAAGTTCTGGGAAGTAAAGGTGGCCACTGTGATGCTGACCATGGCACTCATCGAGTATCGATCAGACTATATAAAAACAGATACAGCACGATATGCTCAATTCATCACCGATGTGAAAAAGGTACTTTCCTTTACTTAGTGTGAGGATATGCCATTTACAATGAAACAAACATATAGGATACGTAAGGAAGTAACAACAATGAGCAGATAAGCAAAAAGAGTTTGAAAGAATAGAAAGCTCATGATTAAAATAAAAACTCCCTTGTCTATCAGGCTTGTATTCACTCAACTTTGCAGCAGTGAAACTCGGTAAACTTATTCGCGCCAGAAGAAAGGGATAGATATCTTTCACATGCTATGACTAAGAATAACACTTGGCATTATTTGGCAAGAAAAGACTACAAACACTGAGGCATTGGAAAAAAAAGTATTACAACTATTTTCTCAATGCTCAGTCTCCAAAGTTTCAGTCAAATGGGTCATACCTGGAGAATGGAGGATGGTTAAGTTAGTTTTGCATCCTTTTAAGGACGTTGCAGAACCAACCCCAGCATTTGGGGGGGGGGGGGCTATTGTGGTTTTGCTAGGCAAATTTTACATTCAGTAGTTTGCCACAGCACAAAATAACACTATCATCTGGAAAACGATGGAAGGTGCCAAAAACAGACATATGTAAATCAAAGGTCACTGTTTAACTTGAGGTACTGGTATGCCTATTTATTAATATACGTAATATTATGAAAGAAATAATAAATTGGTGAATATTTACCAATAGGAATATATCCAGTAAATTTTTCTGGTGCATCCTGTGAAGTAAAAAGAAGGATAAAAATCTAAAATGAAATGTAAAGGAAATAATGAAATATATGTGTGTGTTTGGTTTGAACAACGGATCAACATCATGGTACAAGGGTAGTAGCCCATAAGTGATCTGTTCTACTTCTAACTCAAGCCTAAGTACAATGAATCTCAGCGTATTGCACAGACTTTATAGCACTGGCGAGGATACTGAACTGCTTTTGGGTAGATTTGTAACTATATATTTTGACCGGGCATCACCATTAGGCTACTCTTTTCGATTTCTAACACCAAAGGTTTTTTTTAAAACATGCGCAGCGATACACATGAGCGTCCGATCTCACTACCAGAGACAAGTAGAAATTACTAGGAAAAAACCCAGCCTTCACAAGGACCTGAACTTAGGCTTCCAGCACTTGAGGCAGACGCCATGCCTCAAGACCTCTCAGCCCCCGAGTGTATATGTGTGTGTATATAAATATATATTATTATATACCGTTTTAAAAAAAAAAAATCTATGTCAATAGAACTTTATGACATAGCAAGAAGTTTACTGCAAATTCAACACTTCATACTCTAGCTCATCCTTCCAGGGCTACACTGGGGGTGCAGGGGTATAACAGAGGTACTGCCTCCCTGACAATATTGTTGTACACAGCAACTAATTAGCAGTGTTTTCTTCGAAGCTTGACAGGCGAGGAATCAAAAGCCTGCATTCAAATAAACCAGATCTGTAAAATGGATGTGCATGCAAAACTCAAGTTCTGGAACAAGACCAAAGTCCAAAAGTGGAAGAAGAACCCCATCTCCCTGAGGTTTTCACTGCCCAACAGTGACTGCATATTTAATTTGTTAAACTAAGCTAAGCCACACACAAACAGTGGTATCCAAGTTGTGTACACTTTTTCCCCCAGGGTTTTTATTATCCTGTAACTGGTCCTTTACAGAATGTCACTCCCATCACTGCCTGCCTTAAATGAAAAAAACTTGGTCCTTCGCCAGTCCTCCTGCCAAATATGCTTTCCTGCCCAAGATGTCGATCATGGCCTTTGCCAGTCTGCATGATGGTCGTCCACTATCTCTCTAGCCTAGTACTATGCTATTACTATTTTTTCCAAACCACTGTGATGTTTGATATGGCCAACATATCTCAGTTTGCTAGATACAATGCTGTTTTTGACTCAGTTTTCTTTGGTGTTCAGATCTAGAAGAACGTCAGTATCTTTTTCTGTCTTGATCCAACATATTCTAAGAATCCTTATGTAAGTACTGTAATATTTTAGCTCAAAAGCCCTAGTTAATTTGGGATCATTATTCGGAGGATAAACACAATGTTTAATATTTAATCTTTGGGCTCTTCTTGGGCTCTTCTTTCATTACAGGCCGGTAGCTGGAAAGCCGCAGATCGGCTTAGAGGGAGTTCTCTCCCTTGGCTGCATTGCAAACAAGGAGCGGAAAAGTCACGAATCAAATGACATACTTACCTATCATCATACGGTTGTGTGTACGGTTGCTTTAGCGGCGTTAGGGGTTGGGTTAGGGTTAGGATTTGGGTTAGGGGTAGGGTTAGGATAAGGATTAGGGGTAGGGTTAGATGTGACAATTTTGACGTAGGAGTTCCATATACTGGCCGACAATCTGATGCTTGTGAGAGTGGTGCCACTGGAAATCTCCCAAATATGACGGCAATAGCGCCCGGCTGGTGCCCAATCGGTGGCGAATTGTCCGTTTGAGTAGCATCCACAGTCCTTCGATTGTTTGGGTGTGTATGTGACTGTGCGCAATTATTCGGAACTCCTGCGTCAAATTTGTCACATCTAACCCTAACCCTAACCACGCAAAATTATCGGTCAGTGAGTCATACAGATCTGCAGGAGTCACATCCGTGGCAACTAATACCACGTTTATATATATAAGGATATATTTACTTTCAGAAAACCCCAGATATCCCCGAAGCGTCAAATAAACACCCAGATGTTGGGGGAAACACCCAAGCATTGGCAGCCCTGTAGTCGACCTCACTGTCATTTTTTATTCGTGACTTTTCCGCTCCGTGTTCGCAATGCAGCCAAGGGAGAGAACTCCCACTAAGCCGATCGGCGGCTTTCCAGCTACCGGCCTGTATTGAATTGAAAGAAGAGCCAATCTTTGCACTGCTATACTATGCTTTTTACTAGGCTGAACAGTCTCCATTGCTATTTATTATATTATAGTATTTATATTGAACCTAGACATTCAAACTTATTTGTTCTAAATTTCTTTAGACTAGGTAATTTGTGGGTGACAATTCGTCAATTGATTGTAATTGATGATGAATTACATAATTTACAATATGTAGATTTGTCTCTGGACATTACATTTTGTTTCTTTTCTTTAAACTCAGAAAAAGCAGGGTTTCAACAGTGTTTATAAAATATATGTAAAAATCATCCTACGTTTCTTATAAAAACTGTATGTAACAGAAATTAATCATACTAACCGGTGAACCTGTCTTGGCGAAACTATCCTGCACTTGCTCCGGTTTCCGAAGGTAATCTAAATTGCTGTTTGGATATATTTTATCAATACTGGTGTGACTTTTAAAGCACGCCGTCTGAATTTTTGGTGAACACACATCACTAATAACTGAATTAAACTGCCTCAAAATAAGAGCCGACTGTCGCCGAAACATTTTAATAACAGAAAACTAAAATATATCGACAAGAAATCCCACACAAGGTAGGACAGAAAGGGTCGTTCAAGGCAGACGATATAGCTGTTGACGAGAGTAACGGGACTTGAAGTCCTTGACTCATCGCTCTACAAGCCCAGTTTCCGGATTGACGTCCGATCAGTTTTGTTTGTTAGTAGTCAGACATTATTTCCTCATACCTCATACAACAGGATTTATTTTAAGGCCCTGGGTGTACCTGTAGTCATTGCGTAAGTACTTCGGTGATTCATATTCATGCGGATATAGAATGTCTTCATTGTAAGATTGCCTATAAAATGAAATTTACTCATTTTTTCGACATTATTATATATTATATATTATTGTTTCTGACAAATGTCAAATTGTCTTACTGACTAATAATAATACTAATACTGTAATTACTCTATTTTAACTCTTTTAGTTATTTTAAGAAGCATCAATATTTCAAGTATTGATTCAGTATTCGTCCTAAATAATCAATCGAAAGGACTAGGTTTGTTCTCAGAGTCAAATGTTCAGTACAGTGAGTAGTCAAAGTAAAGTAGTAGAACAGTAACTAAAACTTCAGTAAGTACTTAAAGTACTAGTTAATTCTGTTGACTTTGTTTTAGTACAAGGGACGCTGGCTAGTGAAGTTTACGGCTCTCCTTGCAATAACGGTCGCTAGTTGGACGGCGACGGCCGCTTCGTCGGAGTTCAGTCCCCTGGCTGCAGTGCAATTACGGATTGGACAAGAGGGAACAAAACAAATGACATAATTAAGGCTAGGGGTAGGGTTTGGGTAACATATGTAACGTCGAGTACTTTGTGAGTCGCAGCTCGTGGTCTAGAAGCCATGTTGAACTCACTTTGTTTTGTGATTCGTGCCTTGTCCACTCCGTAATTGCACTGCAGCCAGGGGACTGAACTCCGACTAAGCGGCCGTCGCCGTCCAAGTAGCGACCGTTATTGCAAGGAGAACCAAGTTTACAATAGCAGCTAGCATTTATATTTGAAAACCTGAATCCCCCTTTAAATTTCCACAGTGAGAGTCCAACATTCACATCCGTATGTGATACATGTCATAAAGTAAGACTGTCTCTTATCTATGTTTTCTTTGTCTTCATTTATTGCTTGGTTTGTAGCAATATATTCCTGGTCCAATGTTTCTCTTTTCATAATTTATCTGATAATGTTGACTGGTTTCTTCTGATGCGTGTGTAAGTTTCCTTTGTGTCTTAAACATCTTTCAAAATATTTCAGTATTTTAGTTGGTTGTCCTTTGTTTATTTTTAAATAATTCTGCAAAACCATCTTTCTGTGACTTCAAAGAATCTCTCCCTACTGTTCAGGTTTCACAGTCAATTGTCAGTATTAACTCTTTGACCCCCAGGGGAGTTTAGCGTCAGAGGCCCAGGGGTAGTCAAAATAGACATGAAGTTGGCGCATCTTGCATTCATTGGGCTTCTAGGTAGGAACCTATAAACATATGATGCATTTCTTGGGACTCAAAGAGTTAACATGCATCTGTGAGTTTTTGGACAGTTATTCTTGAGTGGTCAGAATTAATAACCTAGATGACTTGAAAGAAGTGAAGACCCAAAAACAACTGATCCTAAACATCAGAAAAGTCAGTCATGACTTTTCAGACATATTGTAAAAAGAGAAAAACTTAATGTAATAACTGAATGGAAAAAGCGATAGAGGGAGACAAATTAAAATTCTTGACATTTATAATTACATGAAAGGTTATCATAACACTAACTAGTAAATGCTTTTGGAAAACAAACAACAGAAAGAGGATGATCACGTACAATAGGTCTGTTCCACTGGCAGCAGGCAGACCAGGTTTGCCCATGGAGCCAGTGGATCAGTGCCAGTTGTATTGTCTAAATCTTCTTTTAATGCTGGGGCTCTGATCAGTGACGATCCCAATTTTCAAAATGTTGGTCCCTGAGTAAACTTAGTCAAATATCCCTGACACACACCATTGGGCAAAGTACTTATTTAGGATGATGATATTGAAGTTGGTTTTGTTGTTTGTTAATTAAATGTTATTAATTCATTAGAAGTTATATCTGTTTAACATACTTTTCAGACCTACTTGTCAAGCATGAGTTATTCTTCATATGGTGGTTATCCTCCTGCCCCCGGAGGTTATGGTTACCCACAAGCTGGTGGTTATCCTCCCTCTGGTGGGGTAAGTTGTCCTGCTTTAGTGTTTGTATTTTAAGAACATTTTCACTCTAAAACAGTGGTTCTCAGCCTGTGGATCGCGACCCTTTTGTGGGTCGAACAGTTTTTTCACAGGGGTCGCTAAAGACCATAGGAAAACACATATTTACTGAAGTTATGAAGTAGCAACAAAAAATTTTATGGTTGGGGGTTGCCACAACATGAGGAACTGTATTAAAGGGTCACCAATACATGAGGAACTGTATTAAAGGGTCGCCAATACATGAGCAACTGTATTAAAGGGTCACCAATACATGAGGAACTGTATTCAAGGGTCACCAATACATGAGGAACTGTATTAAAGGGTCGCCAATACACGAGGAACTGTATTAAAGGGTCCCCAATACATGAGGAACTGTATTAAAAGGGTCGCCAATACACGAGGAACTGTATTAAAGGGTCACCAATACGTGAGGAACTGTATTAAAGGGTTGCCACATGAGGAAGATTGAGAACCGCTACTCTAGAGCTTCTGGAGAGAAAGGGACATAAATATTTATGAATACAGTGGTTCCTCGTCTGCATCTGCCTTTTTCTGGTGTACGTCCTGTTTTAGACACACACAAATATGCTTGGTTAGGAATATGACGTGCATGCTAGAACTTGTGAGCATCAACTAAGTTCTGTTAGGAAAAGGAGACAGAAAAAACACACACACACACCAGAATTTCAGATTCCTGAGGTTTTATTGGACAGGGACTCCTCTTCTAAACCGTAATATCTTCTTCGCCTCCCTTCCATGCATCATCCTAGTAGAACTCAGCTCTTCTCTGCAAGGTATTTATTTTATCTAATCTCTTTTGTATTTATGTATTTTAGAATCAAGCAGTGTTTAAATTATGTTATACAACCCCATCACTGTATAATATGACAATAGTAAAGAGATTTTTTTCGTCACTTTGAACAGTTGAGTCATCCTCCCTTTATTTTTTTATGAGACAGTTCATTTGGTATAAGTACAAAGATCTGAAACGGTTTAACTCTTTTAATCCCAAGGAACGCATCATATTGTCATAGGTTCCTACCTATAAACCCAATGAATGCAAGATGTACCGATATTACGTCTCTCATGGGCCTCTGATGCTAAACTCCCTGGGACTAAAAGAGTTGAGAATATATACCAAGGTACCACTGTATTTACACAGAAGAAGATAGAGAGAGACAAAAGAGTTTATGTTATGTGATAACTGTGCCTCTAAAGTAATGTTTATATATAAAACTTAGGCTATCATCCAAATAACGGTCCCAAATTATTGAGGCCGAAAATATACCCTACAGGACCTCAGTCACATGTAAATTGCGTACCTCTTTCAGCGACTACACAGCATACTGCCAAGAGTATCTCCCGTGTTTGCTGCGCGCGGAGCGGAACTAAACTAGATGGCTGGGACTCACAAGCATAGCAGTGTGGGAGATAATCTCGACAGTGACTTTAACTCGGCGGAAGCTTTTTCACTGTGTGCTGTGTAGTCGCCACAATTTACATGTGACTGAGGCCATGTTAGGGTATATTTTCGGCCTCCATAATTTGGGGGCCGTTATTCGGAGGATAGCCAAAACTTGTTTTGACATTTAAAGGTTGGAATGCCGACACCAGAATCTGCAGCGGCAGCGGCATATGGACCAAGCGGTGCTGGCTTACCTTACGCACCCCAGCCAGGAGGCCTTGGTTTTAATGTAGGTCACGTTTTTGTTTGTTTGTGTATGTTATTAAATAATGCTTGCTGCAATCAGAAAATAATATTTGTTTTGTGCCTAACAAAGTGTCTGCTTTATTTGTGTACATAATATTTACATTCTGAATGTTTGCACCATTTTGATTTTACATAGTTCACAAATATTGCTGTACACGTAAACAAAAAGACAGTGGAAAACATAGTGCCCAGGCAGGTAGGCCTACAGACCTGTTTAGTCAAACTGGAAAGAGAAGGCCAATCATAGAGATGAATGGAAGTGGATTATATCTGCAGCAATGGAACTCAGAGGCTGGGAATGCTGAAAAGAATAATGATAAGATGAGCCGTGCATTTTAACACTCACAAAAATTAGTGGGAAATGCTTGTGACATTTGCTTCAGATGTTTTCTTCAGTTTTTTCCCCATTGATATAAATAAAGATTGTACATATATGTCTGTGTTTACGAGCATGCACTGTTGTTTTTTTTCTTTCAATATATATTTAATGACACCATTTACCTTGGGAGATGTAATATAGTTTAAGAATATTTTTCATGGAATCGTTTGCCCTTTAGAAATGTAAATATTGTTTGGGGATATATTTCATCTAACCATTTTCATTTAGAGATGTAAATATTGTTTGAGGATATATTTCATTTAGAGATATAATATTGTTTGGGAGTATATATCATAGAACTGTTTGCAAACATTTAGAGATATTATATTGTTTGGGGGTATATTTCATAGAACTATTTGCCAACATTTAGAGATGTAATATTGTTTGGGAATATCTTTAATCAAACTTTCTACCAATATTTAGAGATGTTATATTATCTGAGTGTATAGCTGATGAAACTTTCCACCAATATTTGGATATATAATAATGTATGGGGATAAATTTATTAGAACTTTCTACCAATTTTTAGAAATGTAGTATTGTCTAAAGATATTTCTAATGGAACTTTTTATAAATTTTTAGAGATGTAATATTGTCTGAGGATACATCTAATTGAATTTTTTACCAATATTTAGAAGTATTATATTATCTGGGGTATGGGAACTAATTGTTATAAGAAGTAATATTAATTAGTCATTTATTTAGTTAAATTGATGCAGACGTTCATAGTTGTAAATTGTCCAACAGCCCATCATTTCTCACAGGTCTCTGACTTTCAAGTTTTACAACTACCCCTCTTTAGATTGGTCAGTCAATGTTTGGGAGTTACCCTTCACTTCCTTCAATTGTTGTGCCATATCAGTATATCTCTGCCCAATCTACATACCCCTTTCAGGTGGGTCATTGCTTGCAGCTTTCATACACAAGTTTTATTTCTTTCTTTCATTTTACCAGCCTGCTCTTAACAAATGTATGTCATTTTTAATGTAGGCTAGTAGCTGACCTTTAACCTTGTCTAGCCTCATTTTCATATGATCATCCACTTTTGCCTTGGTAGTCATAGCATAACATTAGTAATCTAGTCAGTCGAAAATGTGACTCTAAACCCATGCTGAATAAAGTGTGAAGAGTTATTTCTTCAGTTATACTAGTCCACACTGCTAGCTGAAAGACTGTGTTAGTTATAAGAAGAGATGTAAAGATGTGCTACTATAGTTAACCCTTTCATTACAAAGCAGGTTTAACTATTACTCGTTGTGTTCTAAGAACTTGTTACTTTAAATAATAGTTTTGGTCTGGGGAGTTAAATAACAACACTATTGAATAAGATAGGTAAGTTCTTTTTCAGTGATCTCTGGTCTGCGGGACATAATATTATCAAATAGTCAGGTGCCGTCTTCACAGTGAAAGTTGGCTGCGATGGATCTCCAACTTGTCTCTTGTCTTGGTTGTACACTCTCTCTGACTGCTGTCCGTCCATCTCTTGTCCTGGTTGTACACTCTCTCTGACTGCTGCCCATCCATCTCTTGTCCTGGTTGTACACTCTCTCTGACTGCTGCCCATCCATCTCTTGTCCTGGTTGTACACTCTCTCTGACTGCTGCCCATCCATCTCTTGTCCTGGTTGTACACTCTCTCTGACTGCTGCCCATCCATCTCTTGTCCTGGTTGTACACTCTCTCTGACTGCTGCCCATCCATCTCTTGTCTTGGTTGTACACTCTCTCTGACTGCTGCCCGTCCATCTCTTGTCCTGGTTGTACACTCTCTCTGACTGCTGCCCATCCATCTCTTATCCTGGTTGTACACTCTCTCTGACTGCTGCCCGTCCATCTCTTATCCTGGTTGTACACTCTCTCTGACTGCTGCCCATCCATCTCTTGTCCTGGTTGTACACTCTCTCTGACTGCTGCCCATCCATCTCTTGTCCTGGTTGTACACTCTCAGACTGCTGCCCATCCATCTCTTGTCCTGGTTGTACTCTCTCTCTCAGACTGCTGCCCATCCATCTCTTGTCCTGGTTGTACTCTCTCAGACTGCTGCCCATCCATCTCTTGTCCTGGTTGTACACTCTCTCTGACTGCTGCCCGTCCATCTCTTGTCCTGGTTGTACACTCTCTCTGACTGCTGCCCGTCCATCTCTTATCCTGGTTGTACACTCTCTCTGACTGCTGCCCATCCATCTCTTGTCCTGGTTGTACACTCTCTCTGACTGCTGCCCATTCATCTCTTGTCCTGGTTGTACACTCTCTCAGACTGCTGCCCATCCATCTCTTGTCCTGGTTGTACTCTCTCTCTCAGACTGCTGCCCATCCATCTCTTGTCCTGGTTGTACTCTCTCTCTCAGACTGCTGCCCATCCATCTCTTGTCCTGGTTGTACACTCTCTCAGACTGCTGCCCATCCATCTCTTGTCCTGGTTGTACACTCTCTCAGACTGCTGCCCATCCATCTCTTGTCCTGGTTGTACACTCTCTCAGACTGCTGCCCATCCATCTCTTGTCCTGGTTGTACACTCTCTCAGACTGCTGCCCATCCATCTCTTGTCCTGGTTGTACACTCTCTCAGACTGCTGCCCATCCATCTCTTGTCCTGGTTGTACACTCTCTCTGACTGCTGCCCATCCATCTCTTGTCCTGGTTGTACACTCTCTCAGACTGCTGCCCATCCATCTCTTGTCCTGGTTGTACTCTCTCTCTCAGACTGCTGCCCATCCATCTCTTGTCCTGGTTGTACACTCTCTCAGACTGCTGCCCATCCATCTCTTGTCCTGGTTGTACACTCTCTCTGACTGCTGCCCGTCCATCTCTTGTCCTGGTTGTACACTCTCTCAGACTGCTGCCCATCCATCTCTTGTCCTGGTTGTACACTCTCTCAGACTGCTGCCCATCCATCTCTTGTCCTGGTTGTACACTCTCTGACTGCTGCTCATCCATCTCTTGACATTGTCCTCCCACTTAAATTGTTGCCCACCTCTTACTGGCTTGCCATTGACCATATGGGCCATATAAAGCAATGTCATCTCAAGGCCTCTCAGGTTTCCCCATGGCTTAGTTATTAGGTCTGCTCAGTGTGGCCACATCTTGCTCACAGCTGCTCAAAGAGAGGATAGTCTTGCAAGACATCTTCTGGAGTCAGTTCAGCAGCACAAAGACACTGGCAGAGAGCTGTTTGGCTCATACCTAATTTATATGAGTGTTTGTTGAATCTGCAGTTTCCGATGCATAAGTGAAACATTGTGACTTGGACTGTTCTATTCAAATGATTGGGGATAATATTTTTCATGTTTATAATCTGTGTCTGTTTTCGATCTTCTCTTGAAGAGAGTTTTTGACTTCTGGAAAAAAAATAGTGGCTGGCAGATTTGTTGATTGCTGCTGCCTTCCTTTGTTAAAGCACTAGCACTTTCATTGCCCTAAATATGTAAAATAGGGATTGGGACAGGTTAGGTTAATACAGCAGCTGGATAGATTACAAGGAGCTCAGAAAAGTTTACAGCAAATGGATAAAGAGCAAATGGTACTGGATAAGTTAAGTGTGTGGGTCTGGTACAGAGTGATGTATGAGGGGAATAATACTTGTTTACAACCAGTTTGTTAACTGAACCAATTAATATTTACGCTTTACAGTATTTACTGTAGGAGTTGGAGCATCTATGAGTGTTCCTGGTGTGATATGGTATCGATTCTTAAAGAGAAAAAAGTCAGTTTGTGGGATATTGTGTTAAGACTACACATCCCTATGAAGAAGATGAAGAGCACAATATAGATATCATAATTTCTCAACAGAAATAAACAAATAAAAAATGCATTATCTGAAATTAGAGTAAATATTTTATGTTCAAATTATAACCCAGATGTATTAAATAGAAAAGTTTAGTCAAATTAACAGTTACTTTCATTGGACACATAATATTCCAATAAGTTCTCAAGACTTCAGGACTGGGTATAAACTCTATCAAGGATGCAGATTTGTGTTTTTAAGAATCACATTTGATGTAAATCTTCTCTAGTTTTTGTAATTTACAGCTAGCTTTTCTGATTTGGACATTTAAAAAAGTAAATCAAAGCTGAGACTGTGGCAGTAAAATTGATAGCAATTACAATACGGGAAAACATCATATGTGTACTTTAATCATCAGTAATAATAGCCTTAATCAAAAGAAATAAAGAAATATTACTGACAGGGGCAGCCTGGAGAAGTCCTTATCAATAATTTTTATTCACTGAAAACTGTGACAGTATAGTTAGGTACAAATACAGTAGAACCACTAAAGAAAGGTGGTAATCCAGAGACTAAGAACCCACTAGTGCATACATTTGTTGAACGAAAGGATAATTAGATACAAGTCTATGTAGAAATGAAAAGCAGCGGAAGAAGTTCTCTAAGACGAGGGGGGGGGGGGGGGGGCGGTGAAAGCATAATTTCCACAGCTCAAGCAAAGAAAACGTTGTGGAGTAATGAAAAAACACAGAAAAAATAGAAAGTGACTTATGAAACGTAAATGGTTATTTAAAAGATAATGAAGAAAAAAATTTTTTTTCACAGCATGAATCTGAACAGTTTTAGTCTAAGTTTGGTAGATACAAAACTCAGACTGACATGCCACTCAGTTGTATTTTTTTAAAAACCCTCTGGAGACGTGGTCGAAATATCAACCCAACAGAAAGTAGCCAGCTGGCAGGCAGATATTGGCTGGCAGGTTTTCACACCAGCCAATCAGACTGCTTCTCGCATTTCTTGCACATGGGGGCTGTTTATTGACGGCTTTTGAGAAAGTCTGATGTGTTCTGTAAATTTACGTAAATTTTTTTTTTCTGGGAATACCTGTGCCCAAAAAACGGCTAAAGGGACTGTTGCATCATAGCAACTGAAACATGTCTGGAGGCAGGAAAATGAGTAGAATCATGTGCCAGACGTTTCTAAAGGGCCTCCAAGGGCCTAACTTTCCAAAATACAGGACTTAGGACTTTTCAAGCTTTATCCATAAAAAAGAAATGCGCCCACATTTTTTAGGTTAGTTATGTTTGTTTCCAAGTTTTATAAAAAAAATTATTTGCGTAAATTATGCAAATCAGAATAGTTAATTTGAATAAATGTTGGGATTTCAGTTTGATTCATACATATTCTGTTAGTTCATTCAATTTCCTACACGAATATATATATAGTTTTGTATATGTTAATAAATGCTTTGTTTTTTTATAATTTTATGTGTATAGACTATGAGAATCCCCTTCTGAAGGCTCCGTCTTCTTGGCACCAAAACTCTAAAAAGGCTCGGTCTCCAAAGGGTTAAATACTAAAACCAGTCTCTATAGTGTTTGAGTAATTTATCGTAGATTGTAGTTTATGTATATTTCTTATAATCATCTTCTTTGAGCACATTTTATTCAATAATACATACGACTGCTACTCTATTTTCTCACAGTTGTTAATTGCAGAAATAATGTGAAAACTTGAAATTGTGTACTCATAAAAATTGATCAGCAAATGCTTTCAGTGTTACATCTGTCCTGACTTTTGCATTTATTTTTGCATCGGCTATCTTCTAAAGAATAACAAATATTTTCTGGTGTAACATTTTCATATTGATCTGATGTTATAATAATTAAACATATTGTGTGAAGAAATATGCAGAAAGTAAGCATTAGAAAATTGTGGGGAAAAGGGAGTGGTTTTATATTATTTATATAACAAATATGGCAGAAGTGGAAATTAATGATATGGTAACAAACCATTGTGTAAAACTTCACAGTGTGAACAGACTTTATGTTTGGATTGCAAAGAGTTTGGATTACTTACAAAGAATTTAATTGACTTGAGTTGTGTCCTGTGATGTGACTGTCAGAAATTGAGAACTGGCAGTGACTTAGTTCCTTCTCGGTAAACAAGCAAGTTGCTGTTTATAGAATAAGGATAATGATAACACCCTGGACAGGTTTTTTCAGTGTCATGTGAACACTCTGGAAAGGGGGGGGGGGGGAATGTATCATGTGAGCACTGGAAAGGTGGAAAAAAAGTGTCATGTGGACACTCTGGAAAGGTGGGGGGGGGGGGGGGGATGTATCATGTGAACACTGGAAAGGTGGAAAAAAAGTGTCATGTGAACACTCTGGAAAGGGGGGGGGGGGGGATGTATCATGTGAACACTGGAAAGGTGGAAAAAAAAGTGTCATGTGAACACTCTGGAAAGGTGGGGGGGGGGGATGTATCATGTGAACACTGGAAAAGTGGAAAAAAAAGTGTCATGTGAACACTCTGGAAAGGTGGGGAAAAAAGTATCATGTGAACACTCTGAACAGGTTAAAAAAAAGAGACCATTTGAACACACTATACAGGTTAAAAATAAGTGTTGTGGGAACACTTTGGACAAGTTAATTTATTTAAAGATTAAAGTGTAGTGAAAACACCAATGGACAAGTAAAAAAAGTGTAATGATGATATCTTGAAACAAATGTACTCAGACTTGAACTAGCTACCCTGATAAAAAAAACAAAAAGACAGTCCACATACATTGGATATGTCATGGGAAGGGAAAGTCTAGAATGCATTGCAGTAAAGTAGAATTTGGAGGGAAAGAGACGCAGGCAGAAGCATAAGAGAAAAGGGGTGATGGACAGTTGAGCAATATTGATTACCTTCTCTGTTTACAAATTGTGTTAAGCTGATTAAAAGACCAGTATAAGCCACAGCCTACAGCATGTCACATCTTGGGTTTGCTTGCTGAATACTTTTACTGTGTTTCCCGGGAAATAAGACCTCACATAAAAATAAACCCTTGCAGGGTTTTTGAGGATGCTCGGGGCGCCCCGCCCCAGATCTAAGCCCTAGCTGTGCTTGGGACGCATTTGTTACGTCCGTGAAGTTAACAGCGAACATATTGAATTATGAAGTAATGAATGTGCCCCACTATAAATACTTGAATGAATGTAGATATTTATACTTTAATAAATGTAGATTGTTTATATACTTGAATGTAGAGTCATGTACATTAAAAAAATTAAGACGTCCCCTGAAAATAAGCTTCGAGGCAATCTTTTAGAGCAAAATTTTAAATAAGATGTGGTCTTACTTTCAGGGAAACATGCTGGTCATAATTGAGTTTGTTGTTGCTTTTTTCACCATGAATAACCATGTGCAATTTATATGTTTAAATGTGTGTATGAGACATTTTACTATTTATGACACTTAGTTGAAAAGTGACTACAGATTATTGAAACTTTCATCATCTTTTTTAGTAACTGTATTTCTGAATTTATATTCCTTAATTGTAGATTTGAAAATATTGAGTTAAAATTTTGTCTGAATAATTACATTATATTTATAGCTGATTAATTTCACTGCTATTTTTTTTTAATTAACTAAAATAGTTAATGCATAGACAGGCAGTGAGGTATATTATAACTTTAAAATAATGAGTATAACTTGTTATTATGATAACTGTTATGGTCTTTGATACAATGATTGCGAGTTCATTGTTTTTAGTTCTATTTGAAAGTGGACTAAAAGTGTGTACTATATATACACTATAACAATCTTATGTTTTTGTTATATTGCAGCTGTAAAAACACATTAGTTTATACATTCTGATTATATTTTATTTGTGTGTTGGATTAAAGTATCACATGGTGACAGTCTGCATTCTTTTGAGATGTTATAGGAAAGTTGGAGAGGAAGAGAGGCAAAAAGAGACCAAGAGAGAAGATGGTGGAGAGTTTGATATTGTCATCGGTGATCATATATTTCAGAACTTACAGAAAATACACAAGATGAAAGAGTAGAAAATATGTACCAGTGCCGTACAGCATAAACTATAAGAAGAATAAATGTTGAAATAACACTAAATGAGTTATGTGCACATACCACATTAAAGTTAGCAAATTAGAGTATACATGGGTGGAGTTTTTTGTGTCATTTCGATTATTGTATGGAATACTGATAGTTGAGGTAACACCTTCTGGGTAGTTCTGACACAGACTTCTCTTTCTTCATGTCAGACCCACATTCTTAAGAAGGCTAATGTGTCCTAAGTCTCATGTGTGAGCAGTCAAAGTTAAAAACTCAAAGCCCAATTGTCTTTATATTTATTGAATAGCTATACTGTGCCCTAATGTTGAATAAGGAATTGATATCACAGCACTCAGGACACCCCCATAAGCACTCCTTCCCCATCTTCATGAGCAAGCGAAGAGTTAAAATTCTGATGGTACCAGTAACTGTCTGATTGTATATCATCTCGCCTTACCCCTGACTGTCGAGCGCTGGCCAGATCCCCTGGTAACTCCTCGCAGTGCCCTCTCCTCAGACCGTAATGATCGATCTGTTCCTTGGCACTGTTCACTCGTTCCCAAAGGGCCCTCACAACATCCAGCTTGTCATACATCCTTTCACCAACAAGTGGTGCAGAACCGGCCAGTCTATCTGGCTGCTCGTTTCCCAACACACCGGTATGACCTGGAGAAAATATCCAAAGGATGCTTACTACCTGGGACTTTTGAAGTGATGCTTGCCACTCTGCACTGTGCCATAAGTGAAATTGAACACTAAAGACCCTGTTTCTGTGCCATATGGTATATTTGGGATATAGCAAGGAAAGGTCCCCTTTTAATGCATTAATGCTTTAGGTCTTTCTTCTTACAGTCCATGCTATGTGGGGTCGGTAGTATTGTCTATCCAATGACTTCTGTCTTGTGTACTCTCTGTCAGTTGCCATGATGTCAAACTGTCTAGCATCCTCTCTGTTAGTCTTTCTGTGTTTTATCCTTCTCATGACCAAAAGGATTGTCTCCTTCTGACGTGGCAATAAGTTCTCTTCATAAGTTTCTTTCAAGGCGTCTTTATTGATTGTTTCATCTATCCGGTTTATTCTCATCATTTGCTGTAAAACAGTATAACTGCTGCTTCCAAATATTTTTCACTAATGGACCAGCTGTCCGTGATTCACTTCATGCATTAATTAGGTCTGTGGTTCCCAGTTAAGACCCACAAGCTCATTTTATTTCAGAAGGTATGCTACAGACCACATACTTTTTAAAAGCCACCTAAAAAAGAAACATCTGTGTTAGAATCACAAAGGAAAAAAAAAAGGAGGGGTGGCTTTAAAAAATAAAAAATAAATGAGATCGCAGATCCTTTAAAGTTGTCTGTGGACCACCAAATGTGAACCACTGCATTAAGGGCATTGGACATCTGGTGCTACTCCTGTATTGTTATAGACCAGTCATCACTCAGTGGTTGATGTGATCAATATCATGTCAGCTGACCTTTTTTTTTTCCAAGTCATTTCCTGACTCACTGCAGACTCAAACACTTCCAGTCAGCCATCACACCCTCACTCACTTTTGTTTCCCATTTTGGGGGAAAACAATAATAGACCTGCTTTCCCTTTACAAGCATGTTGTAAAAGTCAACTAATTAGTGTTTCCTTTGAAGTCAGAGTGCACCTGCCTGAGAGGCCAGGAACCAACAGTCTGCTTACAAATAAGCCAGAATCTGTAAAACAGAAAATCCAAGTTCTGGAATGAGGCCAAAGTCCAGAAGTGGGCAAACAACCAGATCTTTCCACTAAGGTTTTACAGCCGGTGAGCATCAATAAGAAGTACTGGGTCTGAATTTTAAGTCCATTATGTTCTAAAATTGTAATTATGGGGCTGATTATATTGTTAGATCATGAAGGACTTTCTTTTTCAACGCTACACAGCTAACGATCTTTGACCGGTTTTTGTAAATAGATAACAGACTTTGCATTGCACTTTGTTTTTTATAATGACATATTTTGTGTGTTGATTGATACAAATTGCCATTTATCTTGTATTCTAACAGCAGCCAGGTTACCCCTTACAGCCAGCATACCCCCAGCAAGGCTATAATCCAGCACCTGCTGGGTACGGAGCACCCCAGTATGGGCAGTCGCAGCCACCTTACGGAGGGGCCCCTGCAGCGGGCTACGGAGCACCCTCTCCTGGCTATGGGGCTCCTTCAGCAGGATATGGAGCACCGCCAGTATCTCAGCCTGGCTATGGGGCACCCCCAGCTTCTCAGCCTGGATATGGGGCACCGCCAGCTTCTCAGCCCGGATATGGGGCACCGTCCGGAGGTTACGGGGCACCTGCTGGAGGATATGGTGCCCAGACAGCAGCGTATGGGGCACCCCCTGCTGGTCAGTACGGAGGTTATGGTGCACCAAGTTCTGGTAGCGCCGGCTATGGAGGAGTTTCAAATACGTCTTACAGAATTTATGTGAGTTAATATTGCAGCATGTGGCTGGTTTTACTTACTTACTTACTTAGTCGCTCCTCTTCTACCTTGGGGTGTAGAGGTTTGCCAGAGAGATCGCCAGGCGTCTCTATCAGCAGTTTTCTTTCTGGCTTTGTTCCATTCCAGTCCTCTGTCAGTCAGGGACTGTCGGATGTTGTCTTCCCAGCGCACCCTGGGTCGTCCCGGAGGTCTGGTTCCCTGGTTCTTAGCCTCCCATGCTTGCCATGGTGGCCGATTTTCTCCCATTCTGCACACATGTCCAAACCATCGTAACTGTGACTGATCCACTCGGGTTAGTAAGGGCTGGGTATCAAGATCTTGACGTATTGTCTGATTGCGGACTTTGTCCCTTCTTGTCACTTGGACCACCTTTCTCAAGTATCTCATTTCCGAGGCCTGCAGCTGGCTTCTGTGAGCTGTTGTCATTGCCCATGACTCACACCCATAGGTCAGGACTGGTACATAGGTAGAGCAGTAAACAGCCATTTTCGTCCTCTTGCCAATTTCTCTTTTGCTAAGAAACCCTCGGTTTATGGCCTGGAAGAGTCTCCCAGCAGCTGCTTTTGGCTGGTTTTAGCAATTTCTAATAATTAATTAACGGTTTCTTTAAATTAATTGATTATTTCTTTAATTAATTAATGGTTACTTTTATTCTGAAGTCATGGTAGAGGAATGGCAAGACACTCACCTGCTATCTCAAAGATCTTGGGTTAACATCTGCATCAGTGCTGATTTTATGTTTTTCAAACTTGATCTTCTTGACTTGATCCAGTCTGAAATGGATACCATGTAGTATCCTGGAAAGGTATGGCGACTGATATGTTGTTGACCACATCACACAGTGAAGGCTGTTTGGTCTATCATATATGAATCTAGCATCATATCCCTTAAATTACAATGGCAAAACAGGGGTTCTTTACAAACTATTTTATTCCTCCTCCTCCTCCTTCATTCATGTCAGTTTTGTATGCACAGGTCTGACTGTCAAGTGGGCTATCCCTATGAACTTATATGTCAGTAGCAGGCCCTCTATGGTTCCCCATAGCTTGCTCTGCACACTTTGTTCTTGAGGCCCGGTTTCTTTTTTGTTTATTACTAAGTATAGTGGGGAGTGCTGCATAACTCTACGTCTTCTGCCTTTCATCTTCCAGAAGGGCATAATCTTTTAACCAACTAATACCAAGCTGCTTGTTCTCTTCTCCGTGAATGTTGGAATTTGCAGCTTAAGTTTTCTGCAAGATTAGGTAGCAAGTTCTATGCCAGCTATAATTAATCATCTTTTACAACATGCAGTTTAATTACATTGTTGTTATTTGTTCTCCTGATGGGCCCAGTAGACATGGGATGCTAAGGATTGTGTTGCATGAAGGAGGTAGTTTAGGAATGGAAGAACAGCAAAGGGGAAAAGGATTGCATGCAGGTTAGGAGATGAGCCGTTGAGAAGAAACATGTCAGATACCTGATGGTAAAAGTAGTCCTGCCATCTCATTCAGTTATTGATGGAGATTTTTCTTAACATGAGCTCGTCTTGCTAGTCACACTTGCTACTGCTATGGGCTTTAATTTCCATGTTTCGGTGTAGACCAGTTGGCTGCTAAACAACGTCTTGTCTCAGAAACTGAAATATATTTTGCCATATCAAGTGTAATGTCAGATTGGAAGAAATTATAGCAGAAGGTATGGTACCAAGAAAGAGGGGCAGCAGCTTGACCAGCATGAAGATGAGCGCAGTATATAAGTGACTGCTTGGGCAGAAAAATGCACGAGTTGATAGAGCTGTTGAGAGGCTGAGTGTTGGAAAAAAATTAATAGCAGAAGGTGTGGTACCAATTAAGAGGGGCAGGGGCCAACTGGCATGAAGATGGGTGCAGGATGAGACAGCTTGGGGCAGAAAAGTGCATGAATCGGAAGAGCTGTTGAGAGACTGGGTTACTTTTACACAGACTGTGATGAGAGCGACGTTCTGCAAAGTACCTGCTACACGATGATGGAATAACACAATGAAACATTATCAGCTGGAAAGACAGAAAGGTACTAACTAATTAACTGTACCCAGTAACACACAGGTGATTTTTATGCATTAATTGTGCTTAAAGTTTCAGTGAATATTTTTCTGCAATCTGTTGACAAAAAAAAGGGAATTAATGTGGTGATGTATGGGAAATTAGTTTCCAGCGGCCCTTCTTGGAAACTAGTGTTTATTAATCTCTTGGTGGGTAAGTCACAGTTTGACTGCATCATGTCACTGCCGCTTCTGGCTAGTATTTCTGCTCTTCATTGCCTTCCAAGCCACAGTGACCTGGAGTAGACTGCAGGGCAGATTGTTCAACTGAAGAGCCTAAGTGTATTAACTGGTGCACTAATTCTACCAACTATGTGTCTTCTGGGTTAACAGTTCTTTGTAGAACCAAGTTAGCATCAGTCAGAAAGACCACTCTGCTATATTTGCTGTGCTGTTGTCTATTCAGTATGCTTCGTAAAATTAATCAGTTAGTAACAGTTGCAACTACAACATTAGGCCCCTGATATGATGAATGTTTATAAGTAATAAGTGCTATCCCATATTTTAAGATAAAAAAAATTGTGTTTTTAATGTATGCTTTCCGCAAGGGAGGTTAGCTGCAGTGGACTCATTGCTGTCTTTAAGTAAAAAAACGTCAGGAGATGTGAACCAGCGTCATTGCACATGGTTATAACCATAAGTGCTCTGCCACCAGTATGGACAGCTGATAAGAATTGTCCGCCTGTGTCGCCGTCCGCACGTAACTGGCTACAGCGACTTTCCTCCATTTACCCCAGAGTGTCAACTCTGGTACCCATTTCCTAGAGGCTGGATGAACCCCGGGAGCCGCTAGGTTGCAGCACACTGACTGGGCTGCAGCGAGTCGCAGCTGGATTTGAAAGCGAGCCTCTTATCGACTGTGCTAACGTGGTCCCCCTTTGAGTATTATGGGGTGAGTGGGCAATCTCTTCTGCTGCTCTCCTAACACTGTTTAAAAGCCACAAGAACAGTTTTTTTTAACTGAAATGGAACTCTGATGCAGTGAAAACTGTGGAATATTTTTACTAGCCACTAAGCCTCAGAGCATAACCGAGCTGTTTTATGAGTAAATTCATTGCAAATAAACATGAAAAAGTGTGTTAGTAATTAAATAATTGGAATTGTAAGATTCAGTTTGCACATCTAATTACAGTTGATGTTGTCATTTTTGGAAACTGAGTTAAATAAGTTTTATAATAATAAACATTGCAACTAAATTAACCCATCACCTTTTGATTACAATCAATCAGGAAGAAGGAACACTGAAGCCCTACCCACATTTTAATGTTGAACAGGATGTCCAGGTGCTTAGGAAAGCTATGAAGGGATTTGGTATGTCTAAAATGTGTATGAACATGTGCTTCATCATCATCAGAAAACCCCATTTAAGATAGAATACATTGAATATAATTACACTTTCGAATCTGTATATACATGATGTACTAAGGTACGGATTTTGTGCTCAGTCTTTTTAAGATGTCCACTCACGTGTGCTGTATGTTGTTTTGGCACGATTCAAATTCACTATTCTCTTTAGCATATCCCTCAAGAAGAATCTGTTTCTTTATATGATTGAACTTCCCATAAAGACCCTGCTTCACCCCACCCCCCTTTTTTACACACAGGCACGCACACACAAGAAGTATGTCATAAGAGGTAGTTAGTTGTGTCATTGGGTTGCATCTGCCTGAGAAGCGAGGAACCAGTAGTCTGCGCACACATAAGCCAGATCTGAAAATAATGTGCATGCAAAACTGAAGTTCTAGAACAAACCAAAGCCCAGAAGTGGATGAACAACCAGAACTTTCGGCTGGAGTTTACAGCTGGTGGAGGCAGAGAAGAGGAAGATGTGCTTGAATTGGTCTAATTTCCAGACTTCATTCAGTAATGTTTTCCTGGCTCCCTGTGTTTATAAGACAGGTTTGTTTTCTTTAGGCCATTTTGTTTTTCTCTTTTTTTCTCCAGCATTGTTTTTATTAGTCCTCTGTATCATTAAATTTTATTTCTTTTAAGGTTATTCTTCCATGTAAACTGTTGCCTCCCTCATGTATATTTGTCTTTCACTTCTCCTAAATGTTTTTTTCTAGTGTGATATTATCTACTTTTATGTATCATAATGTATTTTTTGAACAGTGATCTTGTTCAGTGATTTGCTTGTCTAGTTTATTTGAGACTTCTTTTATTTACTGTTTTGCTTTTCTAAGATATTTCCTCAGTTTTTCTATACATTCACATTTTGTTGGAAGTATTTCTTTAGTCCTACTGCTTGTTCGTAGTTTGTATTATTTCACTAAATAGTAATAAGTATACATAGTATTTGTTTTGATAGGTTGTGTTTATGCAGTATTTAAAATTCTTTTTATGCTGTATTTTTTCTTTCAGGCACAGATGAACAAGCCATAATTAGTATTCTAGGCAATCGCTCCAATGATCAGAGACAAAGAATTAAACAGATGTACAAAACTTGCTATGGTCGAGTATGTCATGTTTTTTTTTAGAAATTATTTGTCTTCCTTGTTTAAATATAGGAAATTACCCTTTTCCATGCTTTTAGGCGTATTGTGAAACTAAGACTAGACCTATAGTTTTATAGACCAATTGGCACTTCATGTGTGATGTGGTTATCATGACACCAGCTGCCTTTACTTCCCAGGAATGCACCTGGTATCCATCAAGGTGGGGTCGACCTGGGAGTCAAGATAATTTTTGAAAAAAAAGTCCGGTTCTATCAGGACGTGAACCTACAACCTTCCGATCTGCAGGCTGGCGTCTAACCACCAACGCCACTGCGACTCCCTATTTAAATGTAGAAGCAATAGAAATAAACAACAGCCTGTCATTATTACTGCCTGTGTCTGCTGCCTGTGTCATTACTGCCTGTGTTGACCACTTTTGCTGTGTAGCAGTATGGTCTGTGAGCCCGAGGATTTTGGGTTGCCTGGCTGGTGAGTTCACCACAGTCTGTACAGAGTAGGATTTTATTTTTGCCCTAACAGAAAAAATCCACAAACTTACCGAGAATTTGAACATGCATCCCCTGCATTAGAACCCAGCATTCTTAACCGTTTAGGCAGCCGATCCTCTTAAATTTACAATTTCATTGTATTTTTTATTTTGTTTGTTCTTTTATGGTTTTTATTTTATTCTATACTTCTAGAAAAATTATCATGTAGATTATGAAATGGCATTATTTTTCCATTTGGTAGTGATGTAGTTTTAAGTAAGCTTTCTTCATTGATTCATTTAAAATCTGCTGTTATTATTCTTTATTACAGTACGTATAATAAACTTTACATTGTTTGCTTTCTGGTTGTGCTAAGTTTGGCTGTCCCATAGTTTTAAAAGAAAAAAAAAAGTACTTAAGAAACTATTATAATCAGACACTTGAAATGCTTCCACTTGAGTTTTGTAAAAGAAGAGCTACTTACATTATCAGATCATCCAAATCTGCACGTCATTCAGTCTGTAAATGCTTGGATCCCCTCCTCAGTAAATCCTTCTAACTCCTTATTCTTGCAGTCTAGGCAGTGATGCTGATTCACACTCACATTTTATTCTTGCAACCTTCCTGTCTCCTCCATCTTTTTGTACTCAGTCCATTGCTCATCTGCCTTCAACAGTAATTGTTCTTGCAGTCTGGTCGGTTTTGCTTATTCATTATTCACATTCACCACTCTTGTTAACCTCCCTGCCTCATGACTTTCTCACCATTGCTCATCTACAACAGCCACACCAGCAGGCCTAGCATCTAGTTTGTTTCTTCTTACACCTGCATGCTCTGGTATAAAAATAAAATATATTTTTGTCACCTGTGGTCTCAGCAGAGACTCCAGCCACTGTCTGCGAGCCTGCATTCTTATTTTAAGTAAAACAAAGGACTCTTTTTACGCCATTATCGCACCGGGCAAATGAAATTGGTCTCATATTATTGCAGACCAATCAACCCTCAGTGGAGGATGTTGTCAACACCACATCGGCCACTTTTATTTCCTAAGAGAATATCTGATACCCATTTAAGACTGGGTATACAGAGAACCAATCTGGATTTAAAAAATAAAAAAATCTGCGTAAGTAGATTTTTCCCTGATAGGCGAGCATACTGAATCTGCGTAAGTAGATTTTATCCTGATAGGCTAGCATACTGAATCTTCGTAAGTAGATTTTTCCCTGATAGGCGAGCATACTGAATCTGCGTAAGTAGATTTTTCCCTGATAGGCGAGCATACTGAATCTGCGTAAGTAGATTTTATCCTGATAGGCTAGCATACTGAATCTGCGTAAGTAGATTTTTCCCTGATAGGCGAGCATACTGAATCTGCGTAAGTAGATTTTTCCCTGATAGACGAGCATACTGAATCTGCGTAAGTAGATTTTTCCCTGATAGGCGAGCATACTGAATCTGCGTAAGTAGATTTTTCCCTGATAGGCTAGCATACTGAATGAATCACTCCGAAAGATTGTGTTGCTTTATTATAGTGATGGTATTCATACAGTGAGTTTTCAGATTTATTGTTCTCTTTTATACCTAGGATCTGGTGAATGATCTCAAGAGTGAACTTGGTGGAAGATTTGAAGATGCTGCAGTTGCTCTCATGATGAGGCCAGATGAGTTTGATGCTTATGAGTTGAGAAGAGCAATGCGGGTGAGTTAAACAATATCTCTTTACTCCTTCAGTGGATTTTGGGACCCCATTTGGGGGTGGGGGGAGGGAATGGATTTGACCCATGTTAGCTTACAAGTTTGTCATAAAGAGGACTAATTAGAGGTCTTTACAATCTGTACTGCAGTGGATTCCAGGTCACTGTGGCTTGGAAGGCAATGAAATAGCGGACAGATTGGCCAGAAGCGGCAGTGACATGGTACAACCAAATAGCGACTTAACCCACCAAGAGATGAAAACACTAATACAATCTAGTATCCAAGAAAGGTGGCTGGATACCCACAGCAGATTTTCTCCCCAAGACTCACTTCATCGCCTCTCTAGAGAGGGACAGTCTATTATTTTCAGACTAAGGACAGGGCACAACAGATTTCGTCAACATATGTTCAAATTTTTCGGTGTAGGAAATACGGAGACGTGTCCCTGCAGCGTGGCACCCGAAAATGCTGAGCATGTGCTCCAACACTGTCAACTGTATGCTGACAACAGAGACGCAATCTGGCCTGTTCCAACCACAATGAAGACAAAACTGTATGGTACACAAGAGGATATGGATTGCACGATAGCTTTCATAAAGGCTACCGGCCTCCTGATATAAGTTTTCTGACAGAAGGATCGAAGAAGAAGAAGAAGAAGAGAGGTCTTTGCTTCAAAGTCAGTGTATCTGCCTGAGAGGCAAGGAATCAGCGTCTGCATACAGATAAGCCAGATCTCAAGTTCTGGATCGAGACCAACGTCCAAGAGTGGACGAACAACCAGAACTTTCTGCGAGGAGAGTTGGCAGCCGGTGAATGCTATGAAGATGGAGAAGATCCATCAGTTTTCTTAGGCGTTATCTTCATGATACATTTAACAATTATATGATTTTAGAATATTCACAAGGCATTCTTAAGTGGGAAAACCATTTGATTTACTCTCTAAGAATGTGTGTCTAACATATAGTGTTTGATCCTAGGTAAGTCTGTTCCTGTAGCTACATGATGAGTTAGTTTTATGAGATATGATCACACATCCATTTTGCTTCTAACAATTTTACTGTCTTTACAGGGAGCAGGAACAGATGAGGCAGCCTTGATAGAAATACTATGCACTAGGACAAATGCTCAGATTCATGCTCTAACAGCCGCATACAAAAATAGTAAGTTGTCTCTGTGTGTACTTTGCAGTGAATTTATTGCCGACTATTGCAGATAGGCTAAAGGTACTGCAGGCTAAGTCATACCTCAGAGTAGCTGCAGGCAAAGAACACCCTCTGTATGAAATTTTGGCTGCAGGTAAGGGTCAGAGACTCAAAAGGGGGAAATCATGGATGGCTCAAGCAGAAGACACATAAGACAAGTATGCATGCTGGAGAAAATTGGGCGAGGAGAGGAGTGGGTCAGAGTACCAGAGGAGAAGTTTGACCTGTGTAGGGTTATGATCACATTGGGTCGGGAGTGCAGAGAGTGGCCAGCGGGTACTATGGAGTTTAAAGCCCAACAGTTGATTCACGACAATTTACTCCCAGGTGATCTGATTATCTATACAGATGGTTCGGTGGTGAGAGGAGAAAGAAGTACCTAGGGCTTCGTAGCAAAAGCCAGTGGAAAATCTTTAGTGCAAGACAGCCTAGCATACAACATAACAACATCTAGCATGAGAATGGAGGTGGAGGCAGTAACTGCAGCTCTCCAGTGGCTAGAAAACAAGATGCATACACATGTCGTAATTGTAACAAACTCTGAAAGCATGCTGAGAAAGATGAAGACTGGGATGCTTCGAGTAGAGTGGTAAGCTTCACTGGAAAGGTCACGGGTAGTGAGCATACTTTGGATATTTTCTCTAGGGTATGCCGGTGTAGTGGGTAATGAACAGGCAGACAGATTGGCTGGATTTGCACCACTGGGTGGTGAACTGATACATGACAAGGCAGATGTGGTCAAGGCCCTTTGGGAACAAGCAACGGAATTAGTAGGAGAAACAAGATTATTATGGCCTGGAGAGAATGAGGCACCTAGGTGTAACCAGATGGACGCCAGCTCACTAAGAGGAAAGGCAAGACGGACATAAACCAGATTGTGACCGGTACCATCAGTATTGGAACTCTGCGCTGGCTGCTGAAGATGAGGACAGAGCAAACATGGGGAATGCCCTAAGTGCTGTGATGTCAATTCTTGACTCAACTCGTTAGCAACAAAAAACAAGAAAAATTGAAACAACAGAAGTGACATTTTTATAGCGAATCCTAAATGTAACCAGAAGAGATTGAATTAAAAAAGGACGTTATCAAGAAAAAAAGTTGGGACAGAACCAGTATTCAACTGCATTAAGAGACTACAGATCAAATGGTTTGGACATGCATCAAGACTACCACCAGACAGTACACAACAGAAAGCTTTGTCTCTTAGACCTAATGGAAGCAGAGCCTGACTAGACTACACAAGCAATGGATAGATCGAATATCTGAGGCCGTAAATACGAGTACCGACGCAGCACATACCAAGGCTCTCACCTTATACCTCTTTAGAACCTAACTCTAAAAGGCTGCACATGACTAGAGAATAAGAAGATTGGCGCCGTGGAAGCGTTTCGTAATCTCGAGGTGCAGGGTTCGATCCCAGCCGCGGGCAGTTTTGTGGCCACCGCCTTGTGTTGGTTTGGACAGTGGTATCGACAGCCGACCATTCAGCGCAGTGGCAAACTACTGAACATAAAACTGCCAGAAACAAATTTGGGTTGGTTTAGCAATGTCCTGTAAAGGATACGCAACAAACTTTTTTGTTTGTTTTTAACAAACACTGTGATATTGTCATGTGTGTGATTTAAGCCAAAATAACATATGAAATGAGCAGTTGAGATGAGTCAAGAATTGACATCACAGCACTCTGGGTGTTCCCATGCATGCTCCTTCCTCATCTTCAGCAGCCAGTGCAGAGTTCCAGTACTGATGGTACCGGTTATACCATATATAACATATGGATTAAAAGGAAGTAATTGATTGGTTTCATATATTGAGTCTCCACTTTCACCCTTCCTTAGTGTCTCCACTTGTGTAGGCAATATATGTTGCTTGTATTTTCAGTGTATGGTCGCAAGCTGGAGGAAGACATCATCAGTGAAACATCAGGACACTTTAGAAAGTTACTGGTCTCCATGTCTGTGGTAAGTGAAGGCCCTTCTTTCCTAACTTTCGCCAGAGTGTGCAAGTGTTTTGGAAATAAATTCATATCATTGTCCAGTTGCGTGTCTAATAAGTGGTTCAAAGTTAGCTAAGATCCTCTTATTTTCAGAGGTCTGCCACGAATCTCATACTTTATATTAGTCATACTGAAGAACATTATAATTTTTATGAACTTGTGTCTTTGTTGCTGCTGTTGTTGTGGTGGTGTTCAAATGATATTAGTTAAATTGATATTACTGACTAATTAAGTTTGTTCTGCAAACTGCCACATCTAAAAGTCCTGGTCTAATACATTTATCTGTTAACAATTGCTTACATTATTCTTTTACCTTATGTTTACTGTGTTTGTATTCATCATATCTGCTTCAGAACTGTAGTCACTATTTCTTAAGTTCGTATGTATGGTGCAATATATTTGATTTAGTTAGGGCTTTTTGTTAGATTTAGTGAATAACTTTATCTGAGTTTTTAAACACAATGAAGAAAGTTGTCTGCTTAACATTTGTTGCAGCGTTTTCTTTTTTTCCCAAGGAATTTGAAATCAAGGAAGTGATGCTGTAACTGCATGCAGTTGATAAGAATAGAGGGAAAGGATAGGAGGAACGAGATTTTTTTTTTCAATTCCTTTTTATACTTTTATAAACTAACAATAAGGAATTGTTTGTGAAATGGAATTCTTAACGAACATTTTGAGACACATGAGGAATTTTAGGAGATGATGAAATCTGACAGAAAATAGTCACAGCCTTATGCATATAATACATATAAAGACCAGCCTTGAGTGGGTACCAGGTGCAGTCGTGGGAAGTAAATGTGGCCAGCATGGTGCTGACCTCATCACCCATCTTGTGCCATTGGTCTATAAAATATAGGTCTAGCCCTATATACCCAATACGACTAAAAGGCATGGAAAAGGGACCTTTACTTTACTTACATATAAAGACAGAATTAAGTAGTTTGCACATGTAACAAGAGTATCCTTAAATTTACCAGTTTTACATGCACATATAAATGGACATAAGGGCAGCAGAGTAATAGGGAGATAAAAGAAGAGATGAACTGGTGATTTTAGGGATGCCTTTCACACACATGAACTCAAACATAAGCTACTGGGCATCTGACTCATTATGAAAAACTATGGAGTAAAAAGCATATTTGAAAGGAGTTCTATACTGTTTTTTTTTTAACTTTAATATTAATCTTTACGCAGTCTTTCCGGAATGTATCTTGTTTAAGAACATCATCATCATCATGTAGCAGGTCTTTTGCAGGACGTCACTCTCATCACGGTCTGCCTGAAAGACACTAGGTCTTTGCACTAGCTTTCCCAACTTGGGTATTTTCATATTCAAGGAGTCACTTATATCCTATGCCCATCTTCATGTTGGTCAGCCCCTGCCCCTTCTTTCTGGTACTATATCTTCTGCTATTATTGTTTTTCCAAATCCACTGTGGCACTAAAATGACAAAAATATTTCAGCTTCTGAGAGAAGGTGCTGCTTTTTAGCCAATCTTCCTTGATGTTCAAATCCTTTAAAATAGTCAAATTGATGAGTATGTTCTTTTATAAATATAATTGTGTTTGTGAAATGCACAACATATTTACATTTGTTATTTCTTTTCTAGGGAGGCAGACAGGAAAACCTGCCAGTTGACATTAACAAAGCCAGGGCTGATGCTCAGGTATGTAGAAAATATGACCTTTTCTGTATAGGGTTCATTTACTTGCTGGCAGGGCACCGGTAGGTACAGATCAAAACACATCCACTTAACAATGCCTTAACAGCATTAAGGGATGAATAAAATTCATTTGGCAGCTTTGGTAGCTCATGGCTAGCAGATTTGCCAACCCCATGCACATAAGTTTGAATCCCAATCCTGGTGTGTTGACAAGAAATGGTCTTTTGCAATAACATATTAAAGTGGCTGATTGGGCATGTAATGCCAGAATGTTTTTTTTTTTTAGAGCAATCAGTACTCCTTGGGTGATGCAACAGAGACTTGGAAAATTATTCTAGGAAATATCCTGAGTGGTAACATGGCTATTACATGACATCACTGACCGTCTACTTCTGATTAAAAGTAAAGGACCATTTTCCACACCTTTCAGGCGTATTGGGTATATAGGGCTAGACCTATATTTTATAGACCAAAAGGCACTTGGTGGGGGATGTGGTCAGCATCATGTCGCCGTCTTTACTTCCCAGAACTGCACCTGGTACCCACTCAAGGCTGGGTTGACCTGGGAGCTAAGGTCATTTTTTTTTAAAAGTCAGGCTTCCGTCAGGAGCCATACCCCCGATCTTCCAATCGTTTACTACTGATTGGGTAGTAAAAATACAGGTTATTTGCGTAGTAGGTATCCTGGCATGGAAATGGGTCCTTAAAAAGTGTATTACATCGTTAATCAGCAGGTCCTATACAGAATGTCGCTCTCTTCCCGGCATACCTGAAAGCCTTTCTTTCTCTAGCCAATTCTCCCTCCCAGTATGCTTCTGTAGCTAACGCATCTTCAATGTCTTGTATCCAGCTTCATGAAGATTGGCCTCTGTTTTATTCTCTCTAGGTCACAGTGTGCTTAACATGACCTCAATACCTAAACATTCAGGATAGGATGCTGTTTATAAGCCAGTTCTCCTTGATGTTCAGGCCATGCAGGATGTCCGTGATATTTCTTCTTCTTGCTGCACATTTTTCTGAGAATTTTCCTGTAGCATTTCAGTTTCAAAAGCTCAGATTTTGTTCTTCAAAGAGTCTATGACGTGATCATCCATACGTTGCCACGGGACAGATACGTGACCTTGACATTTTCACTTTAACTCACTTTACAAGTGTGTTTAAACAATTTAATTTCAGAGGCTGTACCAGGATGGTCAGAGAAGGTGGGGGACAGATGAAAACACTTTCAATATGATTCTAGCTTCTCAGAGCTATGAACAGTTGCGGGCTGTGTTTGACGAGTATGGCCGTGTCGCTAATCATGACATTGAACAGGCTATCAAGAGTGAAATGTCAGGTGATCTCAGCACTGGCATGTTAACAATTGGTGAGTACATTTGGAAGATCAATAATGATAAAGTTTCTCTTATAGAGAGATCTTGCGGGACACAGGCAGGTTTTCAGCTAAACTAAAGAAGTAATTTTTCAACTCAGGTTCACTTATAATGTTCTGCTAATTATTAGAAGAAACTTTCTACTCATGTAAAGAAAAACCAGCTAAATGCCAGAAATTATTTTCAGCTCGCTTCTAGAAATAACTTTCAGCTCATTACTAGACGAAGCTTTCTACTTGTTTAAAAGTCATTCAACATCCTAGTCATCCCCTTGTGGGATGTAATTTTTCATTATTTTGAAGCCCCACCCTGGCTCTTGCCAGGGGCCGCATATATAGCCTGGTTATAAATGTGGTCTAATGGCTGAATGCAGTTTCTGGGACCTCTCCACGGGTGATCCTCATCCAGGTGGAGGCATATTGTGTCATCGGGTGTTTATCGCTTGTGTGATGTCCTAATGGGGTAAAATGTACTACTGCTACGTGTTTAAATGTTGACATTCAACTAAATCCTTAAAATAATTGTTAACTAAATTTTTGAATTAGCTCTCAACACGTTGCTAGAAATAACTTTCATCATAATTTACTTCCAGTGCGTATGATCAGAAACAAACATGGCTACTTCGCAGAAAGGCTTTATCAATCAATGAAGGTGAGAATTATTCAAAAACTTAGAGTCTTGTTCTGTGTTTGAAGCCATTGTTTTTTTTTTTTTTTAAAACCCTTTCACCCCAGTGACCTAGCAACAACTAAAAACATTGCCAAGTTCCAAAAACTAGCACACTTCAAAATTTCTCCAACAAACAAAAAAAATTCCGTTTGAAAAATTAAAAATAAAAACCATTTACACCTGTCACAAGAAGGATTACATTTAATGGATTTTTGGATACACAAGAAACAGCCATAACCTTACTAATAAAGGGGAGTAATCAATATTTTCTTTTTAGAAGCCATGAGTTGTTAACCCTTAGGCTCGGTATTATGGATATCGCAATCTTTCGGCCTTGATTCCATGATAAATACCGTAAATATGGGAGAAATATGGCTTTTCTGCCTACCCCTGGGAGTGAACCCGGACCACAAAGAGTTCTTCACCCGGTCACCGCGCAATCCGGTTTAGCCAACTACGCTAGAGAGCCGGGCGGAGTAATCAATAAAAAATGAATGCAGCAGAGAATTAACTGTTTTACATCTCTAAACTTTGAAAAACAATTATAGCATGACAATTACTGGTCGCCCAGTAATCTTAGACTGATACGGAAAATTTGACGTCAGAATTTTTTTAAAGAAAGCCACTGTTCCTCAGAATGTTGAATTAAGAATCGACATCACAGCTCTCGGGACACCCCCATAAGTGCTCAGCAAGCAGCAAGCAAAGAGTTAAAATTCTGTTGGTACGCAGTAACTGTCTGATAAATTTAAGAGAAATGCCTCTGAATGATATTTTTAGCAAATGTAATTGTTCCTGGTCTTGCTGTTCCAGTTCTGTTAGTTGTGCTGCCAGTAACACGCCCTACGGCAAGCTGGAAATGTGACGCTTAGGATAAATATCACCAACCAGAAGTGATGGGTTTGGGGTCTCTTGGGACACCAGGGTTAAAATCTTCTGGCATTTCTTGTTCAAGACAGTAATGTGATTTATTTGTGATTGTTTTAGAGTAATGTCCTGCCATACACATTGTCATTGTATATATAAGATTGCTTTCAAAATATAGCTTTTGTTCTTTCTATGAGCCATTTTTGAGACTTCCTATTAGTGTTTCAGTATAAATATGTAAAGTAGAAGACACTGTTCCTGTCATTGACACATCAGGTTTTGGATCTTAGACCAGTATTTTTATAGAGCAGTTAGCGCTCAGTGGGTGTTGTGGTCAACATCATATCGGTCACTTTACTTTCTGTGACATTTCCTGGTAACCATTTAAGGCTCTGAGCTCATATAAAATTCTACCTCAGTGTGAATTTGTTGGTTTGTTTGCCTTCACCAGCTGTGAACTCTGGCAGAAAGTCACATGTGTTCATTCATTTGTGCTTATTTGTGTGCAGTGTTCCTATTCTCTCATGCAGATGCACTGTTTAAAGGAAGATACCTATCCTATCTCTAGGATTAATTTGAACCAAGGTAGATAATTGTAATTTCCTGAAGCACAAGCTGATATTTATCACAGAATGTTATACCATTTTAGAACTGAGTTGTTAGTGGTCATTCTTTATTATGTATCCTTCTGTGAAGATAGGTTCATCTAGTTGGGCTGGTAATGGGGTGAGTGAAGCATTATGAGGCTGCATAAAGTTATGTAAAGGACCTTTTATTCACACCTTCAGGCGTATTGAGCATATATGTCTAGACTTATATTTGATAGACCAACAGCGACGTCAGCTGCTTTTACTTCTAATGACTTTACCTAGTACCTATTTAAGGCTAGGTCAACCTGGGAACCAAAGTAATTTTTAAAAAAAGTCCAGCTCTATCAGGACTTGAACGATCTTCGGATCACAGGCAAGCATCTGGGTGTGCTGCTATACCAAGGCGAGCGTCTAGCCGCTACATCTTGGTGGCTCCCATTAGGTTGCATGCCTGAGTACTTTCAGCCTCACTGACTGCATCAACACACTCAGCTAACAGTCGGCAAATTAAAACATAATTTTACCTCTGCAGGGCTTGGGTACAGATGACCGGACTCTGATTCGCATTGTGGTGTCCAGATGTGAGGTGGACATGAAGCAGATTAAAGCAGAGTTCCAGAGAAGATATGGACAGTCTCTGGAAGCCTTTGTCAGAGTAAGTACTGGCCATAGACAATTTGCTGGTCGAAATATTTTTTTTCAAAAACATTATGAGCATCTTAATGAGAATTTATATGTGATGTTGTATTGTACACATTTAGAATCTTTTGGAACTACATAAGTTTGTACACACTGTCTAAATTGTCTATATCATCTGTCGTGGGGATACACTGTACCTAGATTCTTTGTGTAATCAATGGGGATACACTCTGTCTAGATTCTCTTGTAATAGGGGAATTACTGTGTTGAGATTCTCTATGCAGTGGGCTGGGTAAAATTTTCCATAAATTCATCATTCCTAGAGGCTGTCTTTTTCACTCTTGTTCAGGGTTGGGCATTTGATTCTTTTATTCTTCATAACAATGTGAAATAGGTACTAAACATTTTTTTAATTTATAGGGGATGACATTACTAAAATAAATCCTACCCCCCCTCACCCTGCCCCTTTAGTGTGTGTCTAAATTAATTGCTCACCAGTTTTAATTTTAGATAGCTATATCTATATCAGTTATCTTTAAGTCCATCTCCTTGTAACTGCTAGACATAATTTTAAATAATTTGTTTACTTTATCGAAAATTATATCTGAAATTGTTTTTATTTTTATATTTCTCACTTTACAGGATGACATTTCTGGTGACTATCGCCGTCTGATACAAGTTTTGATAACCGACCACTAAAGCCACATCATCTTATCTCAGGTTAGGGGCTGTAGATTCCAAAGGTTGTTGTTAAAAATAGGTTACTGCCAGGAGTTACATTTCTGAAACCGGAGAAGACATCGCTATATAAAATAGTACAAACGCATCAGAGTATAGAGTATTGGTTGGTATGCTTATCAGATATCTGTGTACATACATAAACACTCATATTGGTTGTTTTTATTGGCGGGGAGGGGGGGATATCTGGTTCTAAAAATTAACAGTCAAACAGAAAAAATATAATAGTTGATTTCTTTCTCGCTGTCATGACCAGCCTGGTATGATTTTCCAGCCATCTGTGCCAAATTGTTCTAGGGTTAAGCATTGGTCACTGTAGTTTTATTAATCCAGTAATGTGCTATATTATGTAATTCTCAAAGAGTCTGAATTGGAGTCTGTGAGCACAAAAGTACATGCTTTATTTTTCTGTTGTACAAATAAAAGTGTTTATTAAATGTAGTCATTTAGACTGGCAGTTGTCCTTAAATATTGTTATATTTTTGTTCTAATAAAAGAGAAAAAACTCAGAAGTTCAAAAACTGTTGGAATTTGTAATCTGCAGTAATGTTTTGCACTTGTAGGATAAGCCAGGTTTAAATAACACAGTTTTCCTGATGTTTCCATGGCACAAGAATTACTGGTTATTTTATAAATGAACTGGAGTAAGTATTCAGTTCATTTTAGTTAAATTATTATGTTACACCCCGGTACTTCAGTTCTTTCACCAGTTCAGTTTAAAAAAATTATTATATTGAATTGCTGGCCTCAAAAGAAAAGTGTGTAGAGCAAGCTATAGGGAACCATGAAGGACGTGCTACTGATATGCAGTTTCAAAGAGGAAACCCACCTAGTGGTCTGATCTTAACATACAAAACCGAACACAAAGAAGAAGCAGAAAGAATTGCCAGCAAACCTGTTCTTTCGTGCCCCCGCCTTTTTTTCCACCCCCTTTCCACCCTGTTTTTTCTTTCTTTTTTTGGTTTTGCCCCCCGTTTGCTATGCAAAGTTATTAGGATGTCCTGATATCTTTTGAGTTGCAGAATTGATTAAGGGATATCTGTTATGAACACAATAGTATTTTTTTGCTTCAGCGGTGCCATAAGTCTATCTTATTTGAGGACAGCTTTTATCTTTCGTTCCCGGTAAACATTTAAGTAATTATAATATACATATATTAGGTAATGGATCACGTTTCAACAAACAGTTTATTTAGCTCATGAGTTATATATTTTTGTGTGTGTTTTTCATTAATTGTATTACTATTGAGTATATTTTATGCGGTTGAAGTAACTTTATTATTATTATTATTGCTGTTGCCTTATAAATATTTTTTGCCTGAGTAATACTGTTTTTGCCTATATTCTTGGTCTGCGTGTGTGTGTAAATATGTGTGTTATTGAAGTAATGGAGTCGGAGTAGTATCTCATTTTAAACAGTTTTGTATACCTCTGAGATATTAATGTAGGTGGCACTTCCTCTTTCTTATCTTCAGATGTCTGGTCTGAAGTAGACATTGACAATCATGCCTCTTAATCTCTATGAGTATCATTATTGAGAAGCAAAAGATAAATTAGCAAGAGGACAAAAAATGGCGGTATATTGCTGCACCTATGTGCCAGTCCTGACATAAATGTGAGTCATGGGCAATTGCAACTTCTCACAGAAGCAAGCTTCAGGCCTCAGAAATGAAGTATCTGAGAAAGGTGGTCCAAGTGTCAAGAAGGGATGAAGTTTGCAGTCAGACAATGCGTTATGAACTTGAAATCTAAGCCCTACAAACTCAGGTTGATCAGTCACAGTTGCAATGGTTTGGACATGTAGGTGGAGTTGGAGAGAATTGTTCACCATGGGAGGCCAAGAACCGGGCCACCAGGACGATATAGGGTCCACTAGAACTCTAGAAAGGCAACATCCAACAGTCGCTGACAGAAGACTCCAGTGGAGCAAAGCTAAAAAGAAAATTGTTGATGAAGAGGTCTGGCGATCTCTCTGGCAAATCTCTGCACCCCAGGTATAAGAGGAGTGACTCAGTGAGTAAGCAGGTATCATTATTGATCTACCGGCTTCCAGAAATGAGCCATACCACGGCTCCCAAATCTTGGATATGTCCACCAGGCCCCTTAGAGGTCCTCAGCACTTGAAAGATTCTATGTCCCTCCCCCCCCCCCCCCCACACCATTTTCCTTCCATGCAAATGTAGTTCATAATATAAACAATAATAAACCGTAAAATAGAACTTCATTTTTTAAAATGTTGCTGCTGTTGCCATAGCATGTAAAAAATTCCTTTTACTGTAAATGGTAGAGCAAAACTGGTAATAGAGCAGAGATATACATAATTTTGGTGTGGATTTTAACAAGGCATATGACAGTGAACATAAAAACAGTTTATGGAATGCTATCAAATAAAATCTGAGCGATGATCTGTCCCTATTCTTGTATTTTAGGAGAAACTACAAGAATACTTAGGTATGCAGATGACATTGATGTTGTTGGAAAAAATGAACTAGAAACAGTAAAAAACACTAACTCTCTTAAGAGAAGCGGCTAAAAAAAGATGACTAGGTATGAGTCCAGATAAAACAGAATATATGGTAATAACAAGACAGGGAAAGGGGCAACATGATGCTGACCATATCATCCTCTAAAGTACCATTTGGTCTATAAAAATATGGTGCTAGCATCATAAGCCCAAGTGTCACTGACATAAAAAATGGTTCTCTGGCAACAAAACTGGTTATCTCAGGCATGAAAAGAAATGTTGCCGCAGAGTTCCAATTAGTCATAGATAAGCACATAAGCTTGACGTTAGTTCGTTGAGGGCTTTAACGCCATTGAGAGATAAGAAGCAGGAAAAAAAAGAATTGTGAGATTTCTTAACTTTTAAGTGTATTTTCCCCCTACATTATTCATGCTATTTCTTATGTTAAGGTACAGTAAGCATCAGATTTCTTACGTTAACTTTAAAATATTTTTCTTTATAATAATTATGCTGCTTATTATGTACAAATTGTCAGTGGCGTTTTTCTCTGGAGTAATTGTATTTCTTATGTTAATGTTGAAATATTTGTCTTCAAAGTAATATTAGCTCTTTTTTAACATTTAAATGTTTTTCAGTCTTGTAAGACACTGGTATGGAGATGCAGAAGCATAGAGGCTACACACACTTGTCTTTATGCACAAAGATCTTGGGCTCAAATCCACATCGAATCAGATTTTCTTCCTAGTGACCTTTCCTCCAGGTTGACCCTTAAAACAGGTACTAGATGGAACTCTGGGAAGTAAAAATGGCTGGCAGGATGTTGACCACATCACCCATTGGGTACTGATTGGATTATACAGAATATGAGTCTAGTATGCCCGATGCACATCTGGCATCACAAGTGTCTTTTTTCTTCACTTGACTATACTTTACCATGCTGAATTAAAACCAAGTGCAATGAAGTTAATCTGCTTGCCTTTAGGCATCTTTTCCCCCCCACTGTAGGAAGAATTGTTTTATTGAATTATTAATAATGTCATGTTATTCGTTTCTGCCATACAGTATAACATTATTCATTTCTGCCATACAGTATGACTAATAAATCTGAAAAACTCATCATAGACATTGGTTTTTGTATAAGTGGGTAGTGAGGTTTCAGTAAACAGCATTAAAAGTCTATGGTTAACTCTTTGAGTCCCAGGGGGTTTAGCATTACAGGCCCAGGGGGTAGTAAATAAAGTCATAAAATTGGTGCATCGTGCGTTTATTGGGCTTCTAGGTAGGAAGCCATGAACGTATGATGAGTTCGCTTGGGACTCACAGAGTTAAGCACCAGCAAGGAGATAAAAATTAGAATTTTGAGAGCATGCATCTTCCCTGTAGCAACATACGGATGTAAGTCATGGACTATCTCCCAGTCCTTGAGAAAGAGAATAAGGCTTTTGAGCTGAAATCTCAGAATATCTTGGACAGAGAAGAGGAGAAATACTGACATCTTGAAAGATCTGAACATCAAGGATGATTGGCTAATAAACAGCATCCTGTCTCGGAAGCTGAAATATTTTGGTCATATCAAGCGCCACGACGGATTGGAAAAAGTTAAAGCAGAAGGCATGGTACCAGGAAGGAGGGGCAGGGGACGACCAACACGAAGATGGGCACTGGATATAAGTGACTCCTTGAGTATGAAAGTGCATGAGGTGGGAGAGCTGGTAAAAGACCGAATTTCTTTCAGGCAGATAGTGATGAGAGCGACGTTCTGCAAAGGACCTGCTACATGATAATGATGATGTTATTTCAGTTACTTAGTCAATCCAGCTTCATTATTGCAAACAGGTTCACCCCATAATTTCTCTGTTCCTGTGCCAGTGGAAATGGAAATCACACAAATTGCCCCCTCCACCCCAATTAAAAGCTAGTGGAAAACAGATCAATCTGAGCAAAATCTAGAAGCACTGAAAGTAAATGTATAAGGTAACCACCGGATGTGGCAACACTATCAATCACAACCAGAAGTGTACATTAAGTAACACAGATTGTCATGTGTGCCTCTGATAAAAAAACTACAACAACAAAACTGACATTGCTGTCTGCATTCACTACTTTTATAGTGTAAATAGGGGAAGTATTTTACTGACGATGTTAGCTAATGCAGTTGTCACAGACTGCACAGAAAAAAAACCGATAACCTTACTAAAGATTTAAACCTTGTTCTCCCTCTAGGCCACCCATTCCTCCTGTTCCTCTAAAAACATCTGTTCCTCATGTTCTTGACAAATTGCACAATTTATCACTTCCCACTAACACATCAATAATCATCTTCCTCTGTTGTTCACTGATTCTAACACCATCCATCATCCCATTCCAACTGGAGATAGGTTATCATCAATCAGTGTTGTGATTTCATATAAAATATTTACACAACAGTTCATGCTTCATATTTTTTCCCACTGGACAGTCTCAGTGTTTTGTTTTAAAAAAAAAATGTGTAAATCATA